AAGCTTGTAAACATGAGAACTGTTCTTAAAAAGGCAAAGGTTCTAGCAGGTGTTTCAGATGTAGGCATCAGCAGCAATTGCCAAACCAGGGGCTTCCAGTCTTCCTTAGCTGGATCTTTCAAAACCAAAATAAAAAATGTGACAGTAGAAGAGTTCTGATTGACAATAAAAACAGGCCAAAGAGCTAAGTTACAACTGAAATTTCTTTGTGCTTTAACTGATGCTTCCTCTTTGAAGAAGAAAACAATACCTGCATTAACTGAAGTCAAGCTATGGTAACCATCATGAACAGCATTTTATCAATTCACGATAAAAGGCAAAAAGAGTGCTCTGAAAGCTAGCCAGCAGTCATCGCTCAAATAAAAAAAATTAACTCTCCCAGTGGCTCACTTAGTAGCTGAGCTATTAAAGATTAATCATCAAATTGTCTGACAATAATAATCCTTGTATTTGATACAGCGTCTTATCATACCTTTGAGACGTCTCAAAGCGCTTCACAGAATATACTGTAAAGGGACTTGACTGTCCAAAATCCAGCAGCCAATTGCACACAGCAGTGTCCTACAAACAGTTGTGAATTGAATGACCAAATTATTATCTAAAATGTTTCTTTGAAGGGATTATTACTCCCAAAAAGAAATCCACCAATCGACTAACAACCCAGTCCCTACTTACTGCTAGGTAAACAGGGGCACGTGGAGTAAGGAAACTTGCCCAACATTTCACCCTGTCAGGATGATACTGTGCAATATAATCAGCATCTGGCTGGTTGGGTGGATGGGGGGAGAGAAACAAGATTCCCAGGTGCATACATAGTTGTCATAAGGAAAGAATCGAGTTATGGGGAAATGCCCCCTCTAAAGTCGATCATCTTGCCATGAACAGGTTGAGACTTGTACATAAAAATGACCAACCACTTGGACAACTAACAGAACGGGACCTGCCTGGGAAACATCACTTCGTGGATAATAAAAAGACCCAGGGAAGGTATGATGGTGAGGAAATAAAATTGCAAGTGTAAAGCATCACCCACAAAATCCAGTCGATCCAATTTTACAGTATATCCTGTGAAGCACTTTGAGATGTCTCACCGACATAAGGCCTGTATCAAATGCATTCAAGGCAGTCAAGGCACACACTTCAATGCAGTCCAGGGGGAGCACTGTAATGTCACATGTAATTTCCTTCGGATGAGAAGAGTTAAACCCAGTTCAAATCTGCCTGATCATGTGAATGTTAAAGATCCCATGGCACTATTCAAAAAGGGACAGATTTCTCTTAGACTGTAACGCACAACATATTTTAAAAATGTTTATTTCATAGCTGTTTGCGAGACATTTGCTATGCACAAACTGGCTGCCACATTTGACTACAAGTAGTCATTGCAATTTGCAGAACTCTTTAGTGCTTTAACACGATTAAGAACAACATCAAACACAATGATTATTAACTGATATTTTTAAGCATGCATATTGAGTCAGCAAACATGTTAATACAATGAAGGGATGTCCTCCAAAATGGTCCATGGCCCACATTTCCTCTCGCTATAAAATTCTCAAAATGCTATTAGTTTGTTAACAATCTCAAGGTCACTTGAAAGTATCAATTCCACATTATATGGATGATCAGTTGGGCTGATTTAGAACTTGGCATTCAAAATGCCACAGATCCATTGGATAGTTCCCACAAGAGCAATAAAAGATCAGCATTTCAGGATTTTACATACTAATTATGAGGAAACCTACAAAATGAACATTTTATAAAATGTTAAAACAATGGAAAAGAAATACAGAATTTGAAAACTTACAATGAAATTTACATTTGTAAAGCACTTCAAATTGAGAGGATATCTTAAAATATGTAACATTGCTGGTTGGGCACCTGAGCTGGGGGTGGAAGTCAAAGGGGATAAATGACGGGAAGGATGACCAAAAGCGTGGTCAAAGAGCTATGCCTTGAGACGCACATTGAATGAGGTGAGGGAGGTGGAGGGACTCTAGATGGAATTCCAGAGAGCAGGAGCAGAATTGATACAATGCCTGCACTTCAATGGTGGGGTGGACAGGGTTAGGGACATTAAGCAGAGCGGAAAGAGTAGCTGGGTCGTAGAATTGAAGGTGGTCAGCGGCAATAATAATTAATAGGGACGAGAGCATTGAGGGATTTGAAGGCAAGATCTTTAATTTGTTCCACTGGTGTGTAAGGATCCAAAGAAACCAAACATGTAGAGAACTTTTAAAAGGGCTGTATAAACTGAGTTGAAGTACAAGCTGGAAGGGAGCTAGTGGTGGCTGTGGGGAATGAATCAGTAAAGTTGGCAGACTCACATGAAACTAAAAATTAAGACATGCGTCTCTCTATTGCTCTTCTCCCCCACCCATAAAAAAGTAGATATGTCCAGTATACTCACAGATAAAACGACCAAATCTCCACTGATCTATTTTAAACAAAAACTAGAAAGACATCTGATTACAAATGGGAATTCATATGTACCAGGATAAGTACATATGAACTTTTATCATATTCTGCATGAAACGTGATATTTTATGAACAGCTGGGATATAGAAATGTCAACCAGAGAAAGACAGATATTTTTAAAGCAAACCAATGCCTTTTCCCCATCTACAATTGCTGCAGCATGCATTTTGGAAAATTGGAAGCATTAAATCTAATGCCCATTTTGGATAAAAATAAGTCTTCCATGAAGATTTTGGTTAGTAACTCTCATTGTGTCCTGCCTTTCACTTCATAGCGGTTCGTGGAACATTGTTGTGTTCAAATTGGCTGTCAAGTTCCCCCACAAAACACAATCACTCAATTTTACAATATATTACGTGAAGTGCTTTGAGATGCGACGCGAAAGGTGCCAAACCAAATGTGAGGATTAATTTTTTTTCAAACAGTAATTCTCTGATCCATCACGATTTATTTACCAAGTTAATCCACCCAATGATAAGTTTACTGGCAATTGACATTGAATATCATACAAAAGCAGATGTTACAGTAGTCTTGAGCCTCATATTACTACAATGGAACGCTCACAGCACAACTAACTGACATGAGACAAAGGTTGTACAGTGGACTACATCCACAAGGACCAAGAGGCAACTCTACCCCTCCCAACTATACAAAGGGGGACCTGGAAATTAAGTTCCTAAACAACTAGGTAAAATCCCACTGTAAACGCACATCAGAAAAACATTCAATTGTCAAGAAAAAGAAGCAATCAGAGTAATCCAACCAGCCAAGAGTTCACAAATGCAGAGTTGACCACTCTTTTCCATTGAGGTTCTGAAGAGGGCTGAAAGCACTCTAATCCTCAACCATTCTAACTGCACATGTCTGTCTAACATAAATGGATATACTGTACACTGTGTACAGCACTGGAAAATAGTGCAATACAGAACATATATTCTGCCATACAAACATGTTCAATAATAGTAATTCCATTATTTTTCCACAGATTAGGACTGGACAGACATGTGCATCATCTGATGTCAAATCTCTAAATTGCCAATTATAGATTTACTTAGGTTTACTTACTTGGCAATCTTTAATTTAAAAAAAATCATTGTTCATGATAGTCAAATACTAGAAAACTACACAATTATTTATTCAAGTGTCATTCAATTAAATAACAATCATTAAAAACTGAATAAACTATTTTTGAAAAAGTCTCACTTAACATTGAATTTCAAAAAAGTAAACCCTAAACATTAAATTGGTTTAACTTAAACTTTAACAAAACACATTGTTAAACAAACAAAATTGCCAGGTACACCTCTTCTTATTTAGTAATAAGGCAAATATTTTGACTGTTTCAAAGAACACATCACATTTCGAGTTAAGGAAGATCACTTGGGAATAAAACATGTGTCTTCGTTGTTTTTAATATAACTACCTTTCTGAAAAATTTAAGACATTGACATTAATCTGAAAGATACACATCAGCATTTTTGACCCAAACCAACTTTCTTCAACAAAAAAATCTTAAAAGATTTTGCTCTTCGTGTACGTTACACAACTTTGAACATCTTACTCGGTGACTTTCTAGTTAATGATGTATTCTATCTGCCAGTCTAACAAAATACTGTATTTAAATGTACCAAATTGTACCACTATCTTAAAAATACTCAACACAAAAAAAAAAGACTTCAGGGAACTTTCCACCTTACACGTACCGCACTAACCACCTTTCCTCCCTCCCTGATCGTCCTGCCCGTTTAACACCAAACTCTTCCCCCTGGATATCCCTATGTATGTGTATAAATGTATGTGTACATACACACACACACACTACGTGTATATGTACATACATATATTTCAACTAAGAAACAAAACAATTGTGATAGTGTGTTAAAAAAAAATCGCACGAAACAAACGTCCATGGCTGCACCGAAGGGAAACTCTCAAACCACGCAGCAAAACCCGCTCCACCATGTGCAGAGTGACCCCCTCCCCCCATCACCCTCAGAAAACCTTCATCAAATTTCGTAAAAACAGGCGACTTATCACCATTGCGATTTGTGGTTAAACACCTCTCGATTCAGACCTACACCTAAGCTACACACACACACACACACATATACATTCAAATGCCCAGGGAGGATATCCAGGGGAAGAGTTTGTTGGCGTTGAGCAGGCGGGACGAACAGTGAGGGAGGAAAGGTTTTCGTGCGTTGGGGGGGGGGGGGGGGGGGAAGGAGAGAGAGAAAAAAAGGTGAGTGATTTTACTTTAACATCTTCAAGTTAAATAATAACCTTCAGCCTTTTTCCCCCATGAAATATAGCGTGATATCAAATATCCTGGTGGGGAAACTCCAGACATTTTAGACAAAACGTGTGAAGAAACAAGGGGAGGGGGAGGCGAGTGAGCTTATGTGGCTGTAAAGTGTGAAAAGGCCTGAAACTGCAGCTACAACTTACAAAGTGCAAGTCGGGGAGTGTGGGGCCGGGGGTAGACTTACTGCGAGGCGGCGGCGGTTACGGGCTACACTTACCCTTTCATGGCGCTGCCTGTGTGTCTGTTCGCCTCTCTCTCTCCCTCTCGCTCGCTCGCTCCCTGTTGCCTGGTTCGTTATATCTGCTGTGAGTAGTGGTGGTGGTGGATGAGGAGCGCTTGCCGGCCTCCTCGCTCGCTCCCTCCCTCCCTCCCTACCACATGCCACTCGCCGCTCCTCTTCCTGCCGCCGCCGCGCACCTTTCACCTCCGACCTAACAACTGCCGCCGCCGCCCCCCCAATCAATAACACTTAACGTGGCCGACACACGGTACCGTAAGGAAAGACTGCCGACCCCACCAACCGTCTACCCCCCCATTATACCCGAGTGGAGGGGGGAGGGGCGCTCTGGTAATGGCAATAATAAAACCGATCCTCTCTCCCAACACCGTGAAGGGGGAAAAAAAAAGAAAAGGTTTTTTTTAATTAAAGTAAAGGCAAACGACCCTTTGACCTTTGTGCATTAATGAGAAAGCAGATTGAACCGTTCGAGGGCGGAGTTTGTTTTCTCCGCTGTGTTTTGTGTGCGTACGTCTGAATTTTCTGAAGCCAAATGACAATATAATAATATTGTAGTGCTAATAATTTCGTGTGTTTTTAAAGCCCCGCTGAGCCTCTCTGGACGTTTCCCGTTCACCGCGCGGTCACGTGACGGCGTTTTTTTAATTTAAAAAAAGTTCAAAGTGACCAGAATTTATTAAAAAGGGACTTTTTCTTCCCCCCCTCACATTATCGTGGATTAATCTCCTCCCATTAAAAACAATACGCGCGTTTTAATTAACGTTAAAACGTTGATGTGGGTGTTTTTTTAATATGTGAATTGAATCAAATTCAACGACCGGCGTCACCGAAATGAGGGGGCGCCCCCTCCGCCTCGCAGGGCGCTGACGTCACGGAGACGGCTCACGAGTTCACGCGCTGGGGAAAAAACATTTTTTAACGACGTTTTTTTTTAAAAAAAATATACTATTCTCGTGAGTGATTTTCGTTTCGGATTTGCGCTCCGACGGCGCCTGCAATTTATAAAAGTGTCCCCGTACTTTTTTTTAAAAAAAAGTCTTTCTTCGCTTGAACCCTCCCCCCACCACCCCAGACTCCTCCTCCTTTCCTGGAGCTGCGTTGACCAGGGTGCTTTGCGCGGCCGCGGTCAGCTGATCGGAGCTGAGAGACGTGGTGTGTGTGTGGTGGGAGGGGGTGGACGCGGAGGTGACGGTTCCAGAAGGTCTGACTCGGTGTCTCGTCTCGGTGAGTGGCCGCTTCTCGCACACAGCGCTGCTACCTGTAGACAGAGAGAGTGAGGTGTACGGGTACGGGCTGTCTGGTGGCGCCCGTTAACGCTCGCTGTCAGCCCGGCCCGGCCCGGGAGCTGCTGGAGGCGATGGTGAGAGTGTCCGTACCTCAGGGGTAAGAAGGGATGGCGGCGGCAGTTGTTCGGGTGCAGGAGGAGAGAGTGTTTTTTTTTGCGGGGGCCGTTTGGCTATATATATATATATATATATATGAGGCCCACCCTCAGCCCAGCCCGCGGCCCACCCTCAGCCCAGCCCGCGGCCCACCCTCAGCCCAGCCCGCGGCACTGCCGGGAGATGAATTGGCAAAAATAAATTGTCTTCAATTGAACTTATCCAGAGACCGACCGTTCGCGGCATCAATCACTCAGGGTGGACGAGATGGGAGAATCAGGTCATGCGATGCGTTGCGCCAGTCTCCGCCTCTGGGAAGTGAAACCCGGCTTTTGCAATTGCCGCAGAAATTTGAATAAATGCCCAAACCGATTTCCCGAACTAATGTTAAATGTGTTTTATATCCTGACATCCGCAGATATTCTTGAAGAGGAACTCGACGCTGAAGTGGTATTCTGTGTAACACATAACTCGAGCTACAAGAAATATCCAGGTGAGTGTTTTTTCCTTACTCACCGGCGAGTTGAAAATAATTTCAGGTACAGAATTTTAATTGATCTGGTACTATTTAATCGAGGTTAATAACTAGTGACTACATTTTTAAATGGGGAAATCCACTTCGAAGCGCTTAGCGTATTTTGCTTGGTGATTCCTTCCAGCGCGTTTCAGAAGTTCCTTCTCTAGATTCTTGGTCAGCATCTTTGACCATCTCCATGGTTTACTTGCACACTAATCTCCAAGTTACAAGTGAATTATGGAGAAATCGCTGTTTGCTCATTTCAAAATGCGTTCTGTAGTCAAGACAGCTATGTTTGGACTGCTGTATGCTGTGTGTATATAAATGATGAACCTCTTGACCAAGATTGCAAATTGATTTTTTTTCAACCTTGGGGTCACCAACATTACAGTATGTAAGATTACAGTGCACATTTCATCGTGCTTTTGGACTAACCTTAATTAGCCTAACTGTGACATGGTTGGAAGAGCTATTGCAGAAAGCCAGCTGAGCTAACTGCAAGGTGACCTGCTGGGCAGCAGAATGTCCGAATCATCAGTCCACAGGCAGTAGGCAGGATCCTGAGTCAGGGAGGGTCCATAGTACTCCAGGGCCAGCTAGCCTCGTCAGATGGACTTGAGGGCAGAGAGTCTTCCTATTTGGCTCCTTTTAAACCTGTAAGCGAAGTCGCAGCAGGTAGGGCGATCCTAGCTGGGAATAATGGGAAGATTACTAGACAATGCTCTAATGACAAGCTAAATGATTTCAACCTGTTGAGCTCCAGTAGTACTGCAAGAATCATACTTGTATCCTCAGTCCGTTGCTCTTGTCAAGCTGCAGCTATTACTCCAGAATTTGATAAGCAAGGTGTGTCTCTCCAGGAGTGTGCATTCCATTTCCAGACAAAGAAATTTCCTTGTGTAGCTAGCATACGTATATGAAACTCAGTGTGGTTTGGATATTTTACTGTACAGTAACACCTAATCTGTTTAGCCTGAAGAAGGGATTGAAAAAAACAAGAAAAAGTGACCTGGTTGTCGCTGCTTTTTGTTTCAGCCATTACTTTGCAAAAGCAACATAGTAAGAATTATTTAAATTAGTGTCAATAGCTCAAAGTTTTGCATTCAGAGTCCCTTCTTGGGACTGAAGCGCAATAGCCAGCCTACTGATTTTACTTCAATTTCAGGATTTGATATCAGACCGAAGAAAGACAACAAGGGAGTACAAACAGGCCATTTAGGAGCCAGAAGCATCTTATACACATTTATTTGTTTGAAAAAGAGGTTTTATACAAATCTTCTTGCATATGTTTGCATAGTGTTGTAAGTCAGCTTTGGTACTTCAGCGTTTCAGTTCCTCTGTCTTGTCTTCCTGGAAAATCTATTTGTCTTGGGCTAGCAGTCATGTGTCAGTTTTAAACACTTCTTCTCCCTCCCTTGGCACCATCATCAACATTTTGCTCTCACTGAAATAACAAAATGTGCACCTTCATGCAAACTTTTTTTCACAAAAAGCAGGAAATTAGGGCCCTCTTGTTGCAAACCATTTATACCCATACTGATATAAAGACTCAGAATGACTAAATGCGTATGTTTTTGTAATTGTAGTATGCAAAATAATTTCACAGAATGTAAAGAGTTGTGACAATTTTGTAGGGAGCATTAAGCAACTAGAAGAACGAGATCAGATGGTATTTCTTCATTAGAATTAATTTTATGATTTTGTGACTAATACTACTGTGAATGCCTAGATTTGGTGTACCTCGTTGTCTCTCCAAAACGACTGCATTGATCAAACTTAGATGGTTTAATACACTACCCAAAAATCTTGTTTTCTGAACTATTCATTTGAAACTGTAATGAGTTCCAGATTCCAATAGACCAGTCAGTTCAGTGTTATCAAAACAAAATTGTATTATGTGTCAAAATAGTTTGTGTCAAAACAATTGTGCAGGGCAAAGCAGTGTACACTAAATATTTTAGCCTCACTGGTTTGAAAAGAAAATACCTTAAATTGAAAACTTCTGCTATGTTTTTCATAGAATCCTAGAAATTGCATAAAAGGAGACCCTATTACAAATATATCTGCAATGTTACAACAGAGTATAAAACCATGTCAAGATAACTTTTTTTTCTCATTGAGTGTAGAGGTACCCAAATCGCTCTTATTTCTACTAGTAATAATAATACTTGCATTAATATAGTGCCTTTCATCTAAGGAGGATGTCTCAAGCTATTTCACAGGATTTACTGTAGAGCGTCTATTTTAGTGAAATAATAACAGCAGCAATCTGCATTTATGCATAGAGCCCTTCTTGTAAGATAACATTTTTCACTGACAATGTTGGATTCCAAGCAATGGAGTTGGAAAGAGGGAGATGACCATAGGTAGGGTTGAAGAGAGAGATTCAAAAGTTGGATTTATAGGTCGATAGAAAGTCGATAGAGGGCTAGAGGAACGTTTTGAATTTCTTCCTGTATAGCTGCTTTATTCAGCTAAGGAAATGTGTAAACAGAACTTGCGATTGTAACACATAATCTTAGCATCTCGGTACCTTCTTCAAATACTCAAATAATTATCTTTCAGCCACATTTGAACAAAGTAATCCTGTGCTTTAGCCTGGTACTCCACTTCAGTATAAGGGAGTGATAGATTTTTTGAGGTGCTGACCTTCATATAAAAAAACATGAAATCGAGGTACAATCTGGCAATTCAGGTTGATAGTAACAATTCCATGGTACTCCCTTAACATGCCTGGTGTTCTCCAGATATTTTGGCAAATATTCTGTTTATTCAGTTTATGGGATACTTCTGGTACTATACTTCCAACCTTTATAAGTTACTGGTTTGGCCTCAGCTGGAGTTTTGTGTCCAAATATTGGCACCACACTTTAGGAAGGATATCAAGGCCTTGGAGAGGGTGCAGAGGAGATTTACCAGAATGCTACCAGGGATGAGGGACTTCAGTTATGTGGACAGACGAAAGAAGCTGGGATTGTTCTCCTTGGAGTAGAGAAGGTTAAGGAGAGATTAAATAGAGGTGTAATATGAGGGGGTTTTGGTAGTGAAGAAAGGGGAAACTGTTTCCACTGGCAGGTGGGTTGGTAACCAGGGGGCAAAAGAACCAGAGGGGAGATGAGGAGAATCTTTTTTTTTACACCAAATTGTTACAGTCTGGAATTCACTACCTGAAAAGATGGTGGAAACAGATTCAATAACAACTTTCAAAAGGGAATTGGATAGGTAATTGAAAATGAATAATTTACAAGGATATAGGAAAGGAGTGGGGTAATGGGATTGATTGGTAGCTCTTCCAAAGAACAGGCACAGGTGTGATGGGTCGAATGGTCTCCTTCTGTGCTGTAATATTGTATGATTCTATACTCATTGTGTGAAGTGCTTTGAGCTGTTTGGATTTTAACGATGCTATGTTAAGTACTATTTATATTATATTTGTAACAAAAATGCAGTTAAGAGCTTTACTGGTGATGGGTTTACAACGTTTAGTGTCGAGTTAGGCTACAATTAGATTGTTAATTTAAGTTTTGAAAATTGTATCAGGGTTGAAGAAAAATTTTTGCTGATAATCTGGTGAATGATACTACCAGTGCAGGACACCACCATCAGGAATGTTCCATTTCTATGTTAGCTAATCTCAGTTGAGGTGTTACTATTCGCCCAGCACCTAGCTTACACATCAGTTTTGAGTGGTCTTCAGAGGCAAATGTTTCTACTCTGCAGAAGATCCATTAAGGATATGTTTATTGAAGTACATTGGAGACTTTAAAAGCTTTAATTAAACTGGTATATTACTGCGAACCTTTTCTCAATACTCTAATAGCAAGCTTTGACTTCCATTTGCCTTCTGGTTTCTGCTTGCATCTGCATTGCCAGAAGAATGGTTTGAATTCCTTCCAGTACAACCTTGTTCAACCAAGGAACTGTGTTAACAGAACTTGTGAATTCTGTAGATTGGACTGTCTTACGTGAGTGGGGATATTGTTAATAAATTGGAAAATTGAGAGGAAAATACAAAATGTGCTTTTAAGAATCATGAGGCGTTTTGGTGTTGATAATCATAACAATCTCATCAAGAATGAGCATCATTGTTGGTGCATTAATTTGCTATATCTTTGAACTTTTGATAATCATACTTAGAAATTGAAGAAAGTGGCACTATCCTAAAAAAATTTAAACTACTAATTTGTCGAGTTTTAACCAGTTGTCATCTATGAATATGTTGCAGATGCTTTGAAAGCCAAATATGATCTTCCTCTTTTAAATAAATTAGTTTCTAAATTCATAGTTTTAGATCTATAAAATACTTGGACTCCTGGTTTAACTGCAGTAAAATTTAAATCTTGGCAAATATTTAGAGAATAAGTCTAGCGATATTTTGTAAATAGCTTAATTTTATTGGGTTGAAGGATTAATGTTTCCAATCTTTAGACGTTGAAATAAGCTATCTTGATAATGACTGCGCAACTTTTCAATTTGTACGTATTATCAAACACTTGTATAAAATTGAACAGGGTTCTAATAATTGGTGTCAAAGTGTTTGCTACGACAATAATATAAAGATCTTTTAATTCTAAAGTCAGTCTTAGTATTCAGCAAGCTTAGTTTCCTTTAATAATTAAATGGATCTGCTACAAGTGGTCAACATTGCAATCGTATTAACAAATCTTTACCACTGAACCCTAATTTGTATTTTAAAAACCTTACAGATAATCAACGTCAAGAAAGTCGTCACTATTCGTTTTGAAATTAGGCAATTCAGAACTGTAGGAACATTAGTTATGGAACGGTAAGCGTAGAATTATGACCGTCAGATTAATATTTCACTAGATTTTTAGGTAAGGTTTGTGCTTCCCAAATACCAAAGCTAAAATATTGAATAGTCAGTTGTTAAATCCAAATGCTGAAGTTCAGTAAGTTGTATCTTCATGCTTTTTTATAATTTGCGAACTCAGAGTACATCAATCAGTCATGATTGATTTTCTATAGATAAAAGTTGCAAGTTTTATAGTACTATTCAAGCAAAATTATAGATAGAACTATTCAAAAAAATATTTATGTTAGCGTATAAAAGATTGTGACCAGGGCTCCCTCTGCCTCCTCATCCTGCTTCAATACTGTTGACCACTCTGTCCTCCACCGTCTCTCCTCACACCTCAACCTTAATGGTTCTGTCCCTGAGTGGTTCAGATCCTACCTCTCACACCATCTCCATTTCATCTCCACAAGCGGCTTCTCCTCCAGCCCCCGCAATGTCGCGTGCGCATTCCTCAGGGCTCTGTCCTTGGTCCCCTTCTCTTCAATATCTATATGCTTGCTCTTGGTGACATCATCCGCAGACATGGGGTCAACTTCCACGTGTATGCAGATGCCACCCAACTCTATCTCTCTGCCTCCACCCTTGACTCCAGGACCATCGCTTTCCTGACAGAATGTCTGTCAGTCATCAAGTCCTGGATGAGAGATAACTTTCTTTAGTTGAACATCAACAAGACCAAAGCCCTCCTAATTGCTTCTCGTCAGCACCTCCACAGCTCAGGCACTGACAGCATCACCATCCAGGGATTCACACTCCCATCTCACTGAGCCAGTCCAGAAACTTGGCATCTTGTTTGAGCCTCAACTGTCTGTTCTAGCCCCCATCCTTGCCATGACTCGCTCTGCCTTTCCCCACCTCCACAACATCGCCCGGCTCCACCACTGCCTCACCCCTCAGGCTGCCAAATCCCTCATTCACGCATTCATCACATTGAGGCTCGACTACGCCAACTCCCTGCTTGTCGGCCTCCCCAACTCTTCCAGCTCGGGTCAAAATCTCTGATTGTCCAGCGTATTGGAATGTCCTCCTGATATGAAAGGTGCTGTACAAATGTAATATTGTATTGTGCTAAGATGGTGAATAAATAATTCTACAGCATTTTGGGGTGTTGGAGGATCACTGAAAATTTATTTCTTTTTCAGCTTTTTCTGTTGATTAAAGATATTTAAAATAATTGTTGTAACATTTAGCAGTGAATGGTAAAAACCTACGTGTTGTAATATGCAAGAATTTTAAACTGAATATTTATTCAAAGAATGTTGAAGTACAGATGGAAAGGGGGCATAAAGCACAGCTTAACTGACTCCCTGCCACTTTTGCCTTGAATGTGAAGCTTGTAACATGTCCAACTGAGTCTTATCCTAATTTCTGTGCTTTATCATACTTTTCAATACTTTGAGCTTTATTTTTGAAATTTCCTGAATCAGTTTATTTAAGAATGCACATTATATAGGATTTTGTAACACTGGTGATGATTTTAAAGAGCTTGATTTTAAAAGCAAGTTGGATGCTACCCACACTAAAGGTGATAAATAGATCTTTACTAATCCATATTATGTCCTTTAAAAATAATATATTTGTTGAGGAAGTTGATGTTTAAACATTTTCCAAGAAAATATAAAATTTCTAATGATGTGCTGGCTAAAATGATTGTTGGCTGGTGAGATAGTGAAACTTTAGAATTGGGAACATCGCTATCCCATCTCCTTAGACAATCTGATTCCCTGGTTGATAATCTGTCAAATCAATGAGAGTAAAATGTTTGCATTTTACATATGTTTATAGTTGAAAGAAAGAATGTTCTCAGTGATTACAATTCAGGTTTACAGAAAAACATCAGTTGGACAGATTGTTCTTACAGTTATATTGCCAATTTAATATTTGGTAGAATCATTGCTATTGGGTTACTACATCTTTAATTTGAAATTAAAGAACATTCCTATTGCCGTATCCCCAACAATAGTTGCCGTTTTGTATGTAAGTGTCTAAACAAACTACATCAGTGAACTTGCCATCTGCAGTCATATACCGTGTGATGGGCAATCTGTGTGCATAGATTTAAATTTAGAAACCTGTCACTCCAGGAACGGAGTACATTAAACATTTAATAAAGCCTACCTGACATGTGAATATTACATCCTCAAATAAATCTTACTTTTATATGCACCTCTATTAAAAATAACATTCCTGGTGCTAAAAATACCAGTAAGGTGGATCAGGAAGCAAAAAATTGTTGTGATGATGTTTACAAACTTGAACGTAGTGTCGTGTTTTAAAGCAGTCATTTTCATTGCGAAACTAATAGGCCTTGTAAATAAATTTAGAGTGCTAAACTGTGAAGCTTTGGTATGGCCGTGGGTATTGCATCTAATGATGACTGGTGTTCTGTCACCTACATCTTTAATGTTGTATTATTAACCAAATATATAGAAATATACTATTTACTGAACCTGTGGAAATAAAAATGTGCACTAGAGGGCACTCACTACATAGCACTTTCAAAATTGATAAGCATTTGCTATTACAGACCTATTCCTACCTCAATAAATTACAATTGGTTCAGTCGTTTTCTATAGAACATTATTTTTTGAAATAAATAAATAAGCTTGGCCTTGTCTTTTGAGTGCAAGATCCATTTTTGCAATGTTGGTTTAGTGATAAAGTGAGATTTTTGTTTTTCTGATTGAGTATTCACTTGGTCAATGCTACTTTAATAATAATTCGTGCAGCTGATATAGCTGAATTTTTGTGATCTTCACAACCAAGTGTTTTGTTTTCAACAACCCAAATCTGTGTTTGTATACCAGTAATTCTATTTTGAGCTAGTTAGTACATACTGATTCCATGCATGGTTTGCTGTGTTTGACTCTTGAGCATCATTGAGCTTAGCTCTTGGGTTACTGCAGCTTTTGCACTTGTACCCTTATTGCAAAAATTTTTCAGACTCATCAAGATGGATTTTGGAAAACTTCCCAAATTACAAGATGAAGACGATGAAAGCATGGTTGGATATGTTCATGGTGTTTCTGGTCCTGGTGAGTAACTCGTATGAGAACCTAATGAAATGGCATTATTGTATTGAAATTGATTGCAATTCAATCAAATGCAAAATATTTGCCCCTTTTTGTTTATCACAGGCTTTCACTCTCCCAGTTGAATTCTGCTGATATATGATGCCCTTCAAGGTATTGAGAGAATCCTAAATTGGAGGTTGAGCCTTCAGCCACTGTGCTACCACCGACTGGTACTCCCTCCACCTATGCCTCAGACTCCCCCTTCTCTTTTGAAAACCTGCCTAATAACCTATCCCTTTGAATGGTTTTACAGTCACCTCCCCACCTGGTCTTCAATACCATCTCTAAAGTGATGTTGCTTTCCATGAAGGGTGCTATATAAATGCAAATTGTTATATTTTGTCTTTTCCTTTTCCGTGTATTTTCCAGTTGTTACCGCTTCCAATATGGCAGGAGCAGCCATGTATGAGCTGGTACGTGTAGGTCATTCTGAATTGGTTGGTGAGATTATCCGCTTGGAGGGCGAAATGGCTACAATTCAAGTCTATGAAGAAACATGTATCCCTTTGTAGGTGTGTGTTCTGAGATGGGAAAACTGGTTAATTTAAAATCAGCAACATTAAAATATAATGTTGCTGATTTTATTTCTGATCAGTGGAATTAGTTGCTTCTGCATTACAGATTATTTTGCACAAAACCCTATTGTGCAAAAACCTTATGTGTAATTGCTCACAAGATGTGTAAGTTTCTCCAGTGTTCGTTATGTGAGCGACGGATAAAATAATTTGCTGTTTTAAAAAAAAATGCAAAGAATTAAATGATAAAAAGACTATTTACTTCAAGTACGTTCCTTCCACAGACTTCTGTGATCTGCTTTTATCTTGGGACTTTGCCCAACCCAATGACTCTGCGGAAATGTTGTTTTTCCCTACTCTTTCTTTCATCCTTTTTTTCCCCCCCCTCCCCCCCAAAAATGATTGAGAAACTCCAGGCTCCCGTCATATAATCATGTTTGCTTTATTAAAGACAGAATGTATATGTGGAGTCCTGTAGCTCAGTGGTTAGAGCGCTCGCTTTGCAAGCAAGACACCTAGGTTCAATTCTAGGCAGGGCGAAACCTTGGACAAGTTTCCTTACTCCACATGCCTAATAATAATTCCTCCCCCCCAAAAAATTGGTCATTTTCAATCCACGACTGTTTGTGGGACACTGCTGTGCGCAATTGGCTGCCGCGTTTCGCCTACAAATATACAGTCAATTCACTTTACAGCATATTCTGTGAAGCGCTTTGAGACGTCTAGAAGATGTGAAAAGCGCTATATCAAATGCAAGGATTATTATTATATTATTGTATCTGTGTTATCAAGATGTTACTGTTTTGTGTTTAGTTTTTGATTTTTCTCTCTTCTGCCTTTCCTAAAGATGGTGACTGTGGTCGCACGGACAACAATGGCTCTCTGCTACTTGTCCAAGTAACCCTTGTTCAGGCAGTTTGGCTTTGTTGGCCTTTGAACTGAACATGATCCTGTCCACTTGACGTCCACATAACCACTTCAACAGTGGTCCACTTGATAGTTATCAGGAGCCCTGGGTGATTTAGCTGTTTATCTTCATACTTCAAAAAAAAAGTTGTTTAGACCAATAGTTTTGTTTGTGGTAGTCAACCTCTTGTACTTCACCCAAGGGATTATTCATGTCTGAGCCTTCATTGGGTGTAAGAGTGGACTGTTTGACACAGTTTATTATTTCACTCAGGTTTATAGTTGAAAACGGGAGTCTTGGCTTCCTGATCTTGCACTGTTTTTCTCATCTCATTCCTCTGCATGTGACAGGTGCTAACATATGCCACTCCTAACAAGTAACATCTTTGTTTTCTGACACTAAAAACTTTATATTTTCCTGAGCTGTTATGTTAGCTGGAGTATCTGTTGGAGATCCTGTGCTTCGCACAGGGAAGCCTCTTTCTGTGGAATTGGGGCCTGGCATCATGGGAGCAATTTTTGATGGTATCCAGCGACCTTTGAAGGACATTAATGACCTGACTCACAGTATTTATATCCCTCGTGGTGTGAATGTAAATGCTCTGAGTAAAGATGTCAAGTGGGACTTTACACCATCCAAGAATTTGCGGGTAAGAGCTTTCAGTAAAGATGTAATTTAAGGTTTTCCTTGGAGGAACACGTAGTTAATTAAAGTTAAATTGGGTTTTGATGATTACAACTGTAGGTGTATCAAGTGACTATTCTTTTGTGCCCTAATCAGCTGCAGTACTTTGATATTTTTCCAAGAACTGTAATGCAAATCCGCTCCTTTGCCACTCCCGTGTTCTAAGGGCTTCAACACATGCTAGGATATAGTTTCACACTGTAAGGAAATTATAATAGCGTAGCAGTTGTGCAACGAGTTTGAAAAGAGTTCCATATGGGCAAGCCACTTCCGCAAGGAAAATTTCCTGTGCCTGGAATGGTGAGTGAACTCTCCACTGATGGATGCACCCTGATTGCCTAATACTTTCTGGAATTAGATATTAGTTTGCAAGAACAGGGCTTAGGTGTATGTTTTGGAGTATTGTTGGAATTTAACCAGTTAAAACTGCATAACTTGCCATTGTGAACATTGGCTAGCAGGCCTTCACTCTTGTCCAGCTAGTCCTATCCTACCCATCAGGGCTATGCCTTTCCAGGTTAACAGGAGCCAATTAGGAAGAATCCCTGCTGTCAATGATCTACCCTTCAAGTTCTGCCAATGCGCAAGGCTGGCTAGACTGCCACAGATGGCTTGATTCCAATATTTTGTTGCTAAGAATGTCACCTTGCAACCCCAAGGAGATCTCTCTTATCTCCTTTAAGCGCTCTGAGCCGCCGCCCGGCATGGAGGGTGCTATATAAGTGCAAGTTGTTGTCGTTTCTCCACCACCACCCCCACCGATGATGGCAAAGTTCCAGAAACTGGTGTTGAGGTTAAATGGGTTCACAATATCACAACATTGTTTGGATGAAGAAGGTTCTTTGGTCCATTTAGTCTCATCTTTCGAGAATGACCACCTAGCTATCCTCCCATCACAATGTAAGGCTGCTTCTTAAAGAGTCCAGTTTTGTGGTCTCAATCACTCCTCCTGGTAACCTAATTCCAGTTGTAACTTACCCTCTGGGTAAAGAAAAACTTTGTGGTATCTGTCCTGAAATTGTACTTTGCAAAATTACGTACACTCATACAAATGAAACCTGCCATTAGTTAGAAGCTTATTTTCATTCTGGGGCTACAAAGTAGAGGTAGAACAATTATTATAATTTACCTTTGAACTAGTTCAACAGTTTTAAAAAAATAAGTATTTGTTTATGAGACAGATGTATCAACTAGTTCAGAGAGGTTTGATAGATTGTATTGAACTCTAATTTGGTATTTTATTAAGGTTGGCAGCCATGTCACTGGTGGAGATATATATGGTGGTGTGATAGAAAATTCTCTTATTAAGCATAAGATCATGCTTCCTCCGAAAAACCGAGGAACTGTTACATACATTGCCCCACCCGGAAACTATGATGTCTCCGTAAGTATTTAAGATTCCATTCTGTAGATTTGAATAAATGTATTCCTTGTTTAACATTACTGTATTTTATTACTGGGAGCTCAACCGAGTGCGAGTAAAAAAATAAAAAAAAAACACCTACAGATTGCACAGGTGCACTATGCACATAAAGTGACCTCAGCTATGACACACCGACAATTTTTTTCCACAGGAAGCCAGCTATTCCAACCAGCAAAAGGTCAAACCCCTGGCACTTTGGTTTTCGAGGCTGCTTCTCTCTAGTCAGCATTCATTTCCTATCTTGGGGTATCCTGCAGGCTTCCCATTTACAGGAGAACCTAGTTTATCCGACTATGAGAATGAATGGGAGCATACCATTGTTGGCGTTGACCTCTATTTTCCTAGGGTAGTCCTGAAAATCTCTCCCTTCCAAACGTTGATGTCAGCAGGCTGTACCTCACCCTCAATATCATGCTGCTGAAAATACTGAAAAGTCTGAGTTAATGTCTGCCCAGACCTAGAGCTGTTCCATTTTGTGCACAGTTTGATCCATAGAGACCCGCCATGTAGTTCAAATCAATTTGTCAATAGTAATCACTCTATCTAGACTGTAAATGTTGTATTTAGAAACAAAATACCAATGGATGGAACAAAAAAATCAATTTCCAAAAAAGTCATCACAGTATTGCAAATCTGTTGCACTTAAATTGAGGACTGCAGCATTTTCATAGAACTTAAGTATGTCAAGTGTAAAATGTAACAAGCAGCATTTAAAATATAAATGTTGCATTTGACAGATTCAACAGTCAAAACAGTTACAAAGTATATTCCAAAAATAAGTTCACATAAATACTTACTGCACTTCCAATCAAAATGAAGAACCCTTGGCAATTACAGTGCCTGTGAAATTCATTGCAAAAAATATTTTAAACAAACAGCATTAGTGCAGCCTAAAATGAATTTTCAAGAGCAAGCTTTGTCTGGTTGTGAAATGCCAAAGCCCTTTTAATTTAAACCTCCTTCATGGAGTCCTGTAGTTTATTGGTTAGAGCGATTGCCTCGCAAGTGAGAAGACTTGGGTTCGCTTCATAGGCAGGGCAAAGCCTTCGGCAAGTTTCCTTACTCCACAAGAATAACGTCTCTTGACTCACTGTCGCTTTCTTTCCCATCCCTCCCCCTTTGTCTCCCTCCACCTACATCTCAGCCTCCCAGGCAATACTGTGAAGCATTTTGAAATGTTCTACCAATGAGAAAGACACTATGTAAATGTAAATATATTGATGCAATTATTGGGATGTGTTTAAATCTAACCTTTGCATAAGCATAAATAGAAAAACCTTTAGTTTGGTAATGAGAAATGTACTTTCTCCACCTTTTCTTACAAAAAGGACGTTGTTTTGGAGCTTGAATTTGAAGGAGTCCGAGAGAAGTTCACCATGGTTCAGATTTGGCCTGTTCGGCAGGTACGGCCAGTAACTGAAAAACTTCCGGCCAATCACCCTCTTCTGACAGGTCAGCGTGTGTTGGATGCACTCTTCCCGTAAGTTTTAAACAAATACATCTTGAATTTAATTCGTGGGATGGAAATGGGGGTGGCATTTTCCTGTGCTACAGAGCGATTGACAGGAAGGTGCAACAAGCTGTACCCTTTTAAATTAGCCAATTGTTGGTGTTGCTGCAGTATCCTATCAGAAGGAGTGCTTTCTACTTGATGGTATTGTCACTGAGAGAATCCTAGACTATAGATGCAATGATTTCAAGGAAGGCCAAGCAAATTATTATATTTTACAAATACCTTTGTAACTAATTTTTAGATTCTACAGAAATAATAGAGGAATGACAAAGCATAAATGAAAATCATGATCTGTACCAAATTATTAGTGCAAGAAAATTGTGAGTATGTACAAGATATGCAATCTTTAAATACATAGAAATAACTGGGAAAGCACCTTTATTGATGCTTTACAGTGGCTCCCCATCAGAATGAGCTACACAGTTAGAAGCATAGGGCAGAGAGCTTGCAGGATCTTCTGGCCTGCGAGAGGTAGAAGAGCATGTCTTGAGGCACTTAACTTCTGATGAACTCAGTTCAATGCATTAGAACTGTAAACATGCCTTCAGAGGGAGGAAGTGTGTGTGCAAGGGTTAATGGAAAGTCCCTGGCAGTATGTAATATGGAAATACCATGTCCATAAGAAGTTATTGCACATCTATATTGATGAGGGTGAAGGGGAATGGCGAACTGATGGATTTTGATGAGAATACAATAGGGAGTGCCAAAATGTCCTGAATGATTGCTGATCCTCACCTGAAACCAAGGTTATCTATACAGGCAGTTCAAGATGAGAGGATCTAAGTCCTGTCAAAGCACTTTCCACTTTGCTTGGGTAAAGACTGTGAAGACTATTATTATTATTCATTTCCCACAGAGCTGTGTATGCTCCCCTTTCGAAAATATAGCAACTTTGTTTGTAGTACATTGTAGGTGCAAGATAGGTGCTGCGTTTACCTGCATGACATCCACTTAATTTCTAAATAGTCTTACTTTGAAAAGTTCTTTGATGCGCTAATTTTCCATGAAAGGCATTATATGAGTGCAAGTTGTTCTCGTTAATGATAATTTTTACCAGTAATTACTTGGACACAATGTGACATTAGAATGAAAGCACTTCACAGGATTTACTATAGAAGTGTTGTGACTATTTGTAGGCAACGAGGAAAAGAATGCATTAATTTTTCTGCTGCATAGCTGGCGAGTCGCACTATAGTGGATTCAGTATTCTTGTTTTGTTCCTGTGTCTTAAGGTGTGTCCAAGGTGGAACCACAGCTATCCCAGGAGCATTTGGCTGTGGAAAAACGGTTATTTCACAGTCCCTCTCAAAGTACTCCAACAGTGATGTTATTATTTATGTTGGATGTGGAGAGCGTGGGAATGAGATGTCTGAAGTACTGAGAGATTTTCCAGAGGTAAGTTTAGTCGTATTATCAGAGAATATCAATATAACCTGTTAAAGTAGGACTAATGTTTTATGTCAATTCATTATTCTTTCTGACGTATGCAAATTGGACGTATACAGATTCAAAAGGAAATTACCAATGGGTCAAGCTGAAGAACCTATTTGAAGATTATTTGCTAAAATGTTCTGGCCTAATTCTTTTGTGAACTCATCTGGGTTCACTCACTTTTCTAGTGATAAAGCATCATGTTTTCAAAAATTGTGATATTCCAACTTCTCCCCCCCATCTAAATTAATTGGCCGCTCATCTCATTGTCATGAGATGTTGGTGATGCAGATCAGCTAGTGTTTATTTATGTAACGTTCACTTCATTTCTAATCAGTTTAATCAATTGGAATTTAGTCGATATCAATGTGGACAGAATGCTCATATAGTGGAAAGGAGACTTGCCATTGTCTTGCCTTTTTTCTTTCCATCATGCTATATTGAGAATAATGTTAATCCTCCTTTCTCTTGCTTTCCTATAGTTGACAATGGAAGTTGATGGAAAAGTAGAAAGCATCATGAAGAGAACCTCCTTGGTAGCTAATACCTCCAACATGCCTGTTGCTGCCAGAGAAGCTTCTATCTACACAGGTACAATGTTCTTTTTGGAATAAAAAATAGCATGAAGCAAAACAACAATCTGGGTTACATTTATGATATCGATGGCTGTGGAAAACTACTGAGGTTATTTAAGAAATGTAAAAGATTCTTGTGAGCTCCTTGCAGATTTTGTTCAGAGGAAATCCTGCACCATCTTGGAGAAGTTGTCTGATAAGTCCCTTTGCTCTTCAATAAATGTTCTTGAAATCATTTAAATACTGTTATAGAGTGACGTATTTACATTCAGAGTCCAGGGAGAGGTAACAATCTATGATTCCTTACGATTGAGTGCTTAACTATTGAGATAAAATGATTTGCTCACCTTTGTTCTTGAAATGTCATTTTCACAAATTACTGTTCCTTTTTAAAATAAAAGTTGTGGATAAAAGGTATTGAATGAGATTTAGATTGAAGACATGTTGCCTCTAGATGCAATTTAGTCTCTAATTTAGAAGGAGCTCACCAGAAAAAGATCAAACGTTTGTGAGTGGTCAATTATTTCTGTAATCTTCAGTTCATTTTATAAGTTTCTGCTTGGTGTTTAAATGCACTATTTTCATATTGAAAATTGCATTATTTCTGCCCTTTGAAGGTATTACTCTTTCTGAATACTTCCGAGATATGGGTTACAATGTTAGCATGATGGCAGACTCTACTTCCCGATGGGCTGAGGCCTTGAGAGAAATCTCTGGTCGTCTGGCAGAAATGCCTGCTGGTATGGTTTTTTTTCATTTATAAGCATATGCTTTTCACACATCTTATCTGTCACTAAGATCCTTATCTAAATGCACGAATACTGGTCCTAATTATACATTTTAATGTGTTAATTGCAACACTTTTGTGTACTTGGGTTTATTTTCCACTTTTTCGAGAATTTGTCAAATTGTTAAATGCAATTTTAAATTTGAAGCCCATTTTCTGTGCATTCTTATAAGGATTACAACAAAACCAATTTCAAACAACAAACAAAATTATATTTGTATAGCGCCTTTCACGTCGGGAGGACTCCCGAGGAGCTGGACAATCAGTGTTTCCGGCCCAAGCTGGCAGTCGGGATCGGGGAGGGTGGAGGGCAGGTGGGGGAGGAGGGTGACTAAAGGCACGGTTGAAGAGGAGGGTCTTGAGATGGGTCTTGGAGGAGGCAAGGGAGGGGGTGTGAGGTGGAGGGACTGCGGGATGGAGTTTCAGAGGGTGGGGCAGAGTGGCTGACAGCCTGCCGGCCAAAGGTGGGTTCTTCTCACTCAGCTCTTGTTAACACTCCAAATTCAAAATCTTAACAGATATTGCGAGCTATGCAATTTTAGCTAGTTAAATTCCAGCATTTTATACCTTAACATATTTGAATTGTCAAATCCTGCCAATCAATTACTTTATTTAAGGTATCTAGTTAACGCCTAAACAAAATTTTAATACAGGTGCAGAATATATTCCTGAAGATGTTCTTAAATATTATACATAAAACCAGTTTACTTTGAGTATCTTTGATTTAGCAAAGATGGTCATTACCCAAATCCTTTGATTATTATGATGATTATTATAGTGCGACAAGAAGTGGTTGACAAATCTTTGTCTTTTATAGACAGTGGTTATCCTGCTTATCTGGGCGCTCGTCTAGCCTCCTTTTATGAGCGTGCAGGTAGAGTCAAATGCCTGGGAAACCCTGAACGAGAAGGTAGTGTCAGCATTGTTGGAGCGTAAGTAATATTCACATGATATATTTAGCAGTTTAATTTTAAAGACATCCCTTCATCTTCATTCAAATGTGAATTAGATATTTAAGACATTATCTTCTATGGAGTCTGTTTATAAAGTGTCTGTCCTCTGACTCAGAAAACGCCCAACAATTTTTACAAATTTTCATCTTTCTAATCCTAGTGCAGGATTGATGTTGTCAAAGCTGGAAAGAGTCATGAGTACCTGATATTGTATGGTTAGGAAAGAAGCTTGGTGAAAATATGTAACTGCCTTCCACTGACCATCCCCATTCCATTAAATTACCCGAGGAAAGGTTCTATGTAGTTTCTTCTTTGTTCCCAGCTCCCACTACCCTCAAAGTTCCAGAATATTTATTTAATTTTAATTTACTTCATTCATCATTGATGGTCAGCTCACCTTGTTTGCCCACCTTATGTTCATACGTTCAGGTTTGCCCACTTTATGTTCAGGCACTGTGGAATAGAAATTCCAAGTCCAGATTTACTCTATTAATGTGGCATTTCAGATTGTGTATAATTCAATTTTAACTTTGAAGCTTGTTTTCTGTAGTTTTTAAAATACCTTATTGAAAACCAGCTTCAAAACTAAAGACTGAATTTTACAAGTTTTGGTTTCTCAGAAGTGCTATGTTAATAAAGGAAATACGACCCAGATGGAATTTTACCCCACATGTCAGGCTGCCAGTTAGCGAATTGCAATCTGATAAACTGCCTTCTACAACTCAATTTGTCCTTTCTTGCAGTGTCTCCCCTCCTGGTGGTGATTTCTCGGATCCTGTGACATCTGCTACACTTGGTATTGTTCAGGTATTTACACAATTTTGTAGGGCTTTTTGATCTGTAGTCCTTCTGAATAGGTACTATTTCAAAACTATTGACAACATGAAGCATAAATTGCCATTTATCATTTTGAATATTAAGTACTTCTAAAATGTCTGGATGATTTGCTAATGTTGTAATTCGCCAAAATGATTTCGGAAAACAGTTTGAAGAATACTGTCTTGCAGAAGACAAGAGACCTCTTGTCTAATAAAGAATTGACTGGTTTGTTCACTATCCGCTTCCTTCAATTGAAGATATTCAAAAAAAGCAATCTCTGCATTGGTATAGCACTTAGCAAAATTTCTCAAACACTTTAATAATTATAATAATCCTTGCATTTGATATAGCGCTTTTCACGTGTTCTAGATGTCTCAAAGCGCTTCACAGAATATACTGTAAAGTGAATTGACTGTATATTTGTGGGCGAAACGCGGCAGCCAATTGTGCAATTCATTACATTTTATTACTTTGCACAATTGACTTATTAAATTAATTAAAAATTACTTCGCACAATTGATTACATTTTAGTGTCCCAAGACTGTTGTAGGCATGTGTGGTTCAAGGACATTCAATAAAATTTTAGTTCTTCATAGCTGACAGATTGAAACAAACCTTTTTTTCTCCTTGCAAGGTTTTCTGGGGTCTGGACAAGAAACTGGCACAACGTAAGCACTTCCCATCTGTCAATTGGCTGATCAGCTACAGCAAATACACTCGTGCCTTAGATGAGTACTATGACAAGCACTTCGCAGAATTTGTGCCTTTAAGGACAAAGGCTAAAGAGATTCTGCAAGAAGAGGAAGATCTCGCTGAAATTGTCCAGCTAGTTGGAAAAGTGAGTACTGTATAGTTTTGCTCATTCTTGAGATAATAATAATAATAATCCTTGCATTTGATATAGCGCTTTTCACGTCGGGAGGACGTCCCAAAGCGCTTCACAGAACACACTGTAAAGTGAATTGACTATATTTGTGGGCGAACCCAGCAGCCAATTGCGCACAGCAATGTCCCACAAACGGTCGTAGATTGAAAATGACCAATTTATTATTGTTTTTGGTTTTGGAGGGATTATTATTAGGCTCTGTGTGGAGTAAGGAAACTTGCCCAAGGTTTCGCTCTGCCTGGAATTGAACTCAGGTCTCTCACTTGCAAAGAGAGTGCTCCAGCCACTGAGCTACAGGACTCCACATGTGGGTGACACTGGCAGAACTAGCATTTATTACTCAGCCCTAGTTCCCCGAGAAGGTAGTGTTCTCTGGGAAATTATATAGATAATAAGATCATTCCTAAGTGTTCTTGGAGAGTGTTTAGGGTGGAGAAAAATTAAAGCATCCCATCTGGTCTTTTATGGGTGTGAATTGAGGGGGTGTTCATTCAGTGCTAAAAGGTTACAATGGCATAATCTTAAAAATACCACTGCCTCATCTTACACATGTTAACTGCAACAGTGACATGATTAAAATTGGGATCTTACTGTATGGGGAACTACAGGTCCAGACTCCTGTTCCATCACTCAGCATGTTGCAGAATTTGAGTCGCCTTCAGAAAAAACATTTGTTGGGATTTCTTGGTATGTGAATCTATGCAAATTTTTTATTTTCTTTCAAATTAATGTTTTATGTTTATTTTGATGTAATAACACTCTTCCACAGAAAACAGTAAATTATTTTGTGTAGACCAAGTTTTGTGTATTTTAAGAGTGGTTTCTTTTGGCAGTTACCATAAACATTAAAGCAGTATATCAGAAATTCAAAAACACAAATATCTTGAATACTAATAAAGGAATGTTTGCTTTCCTTTCAACCTTAATTGGTTATTTATTAATGCCTTTTTAAATTCTTTTACAGGCATCACTGGCAGAGACTGACAAAATAACTTTAGAGGTAGCTAAGTTGATAAAAGATGACTACCTGCAGCAAAATGGATATACTCCTTACGATAGGTAACTGTTATTTCCTTAATTTTAATTTCCAGCAATTCTAGCAATTTTCCAAACACTTCTCTGAACAGATAAAATTCAATGCTTTAATACAATAGAATTAAATCCCCTATTCCAAACAGCGCATCTCTGATCTTAGCTGGCAGTTAAAGGCATTTGTACAGGCAGAGAAATGTTGAAGGAAAGGAAAATCAGTTGTGCATTCCACATTTTTGTTCAACTGGGAGACATTTGTACAGAAAATAATGCCCTTAGGTTTTCAGTTCTCTTTAAAATTTTAACAGATCTGGAATCCCCCATTCCAGTGCAAAATAGCACATTCTATTGTGTATCTAAATTCAAGTAATGGATACTGAGAACTGCTCCTATATGTGGAACTGAGTAACTAATATTACATATTATCCCAATATTGCACAATGTTGCACAAGTTATTTTAGCACAGTCTGAACAAGGGCCTAGTGATTGGAATGAACTAGAACTTTTCATGAGTGAATTTAAAAAATACAAATGAATTCTAATGTCAATATAGTTCCATTATGTTTAGTAAAGACCTGCTCTGTATTTTCTTAAAGGTTTTGTCCATTCTACAAAACTGTTGGCATGCTGTCAAATATGATTGCTTTCTATGACATGGCACGTCATGCAGTTGAATCTACAGCTCAAAGTGATAACAAGATTACGTGGTCGATCATACGTGAACATATGGGCGAGATCCTATACAAGCTGAGTGCCATGAAATTCAAGGTATTCAATGTTTGTTTTTAAAACTACTATGTTTACAAGATTGTTGAAAGGTGTACAATCTATATACAAATGGAATCTAATTTATGCCATTCTCTGATGTGGGAGTGGGAATAAACCCGAGAATTGACCTTACACTTTGCGCCTGAGACGAGTTATGATGCAGTCTGTCTAAAATACCCAACATCTGGCTGAAACGGTTCATCTCCCAGCAAGTATGATCTGGGAATATTCAATGGTATTGCCACCAATAGTTATCTCTTTTAAAAAAATTAATTTACCTTTAAGAAAGGGGTTAGTTAAACAACTCAGTGCCAATAATTTAGTGGAACTCGGCAGAACGGAATTACTAAACCAGTTTATCATAAAATGTTAGCCTGACTCAATTGGTAGCACTCTCGCCTCTGAGGCAGGTTGTGGGTTAAAGCCACACGTCTGGATCTTGTATTGGCTGGCATTCCAGTACAGTGGAGCATTATATTGTAGGAGGTGATGTCTTTCAGATGTGATGTTAAACCAAGGTTTTGTCTGCCTGTTCGGGTGGTCATTAAAAGATCCCATGGTACTATTCAAAAAGAAAATGGAGTTTCTCCTGGTGTCCTAGCCAACAATCCCACAGATAAAATTGATTATTCCCTTTTATAGCAATTTATGGGAAATTGCTGTTTGCCAATTGGCTGCCACATTTGCCTACAAAATTCACCAAAAGTTTAAAAGTACATTGTTGCAATTTGAAGGGAGTTCACTGAGGTTACCATTTAATGCAATGTTGCAAATTGAATCATTTCCGTTACAAAGTGTTTTACTAGAGACATCTAGACATGTTTCAATTTGACAAGCTAAACAGTATTGAGGCTAATATTTTCCTTTATTTCCCAGGACCCAGTGAAAGATGGAGAAGCAAAAATCAAGGCAGATTATGTTCAGCTTTATGAGGACATGCAGACGGCATTCCGAAGTCTAGAAGATTAAAATTTCCCTGATATTCTCTGAAGAATACTTGCAGTGAAATCCATTTTGCCCAGTATTTATATCTGTTATGTTTTCTTACATTCCTTTTCAACATTGAACATGCTTAAATGTTTTAATGTATTAGATGTACAGTAATTGGTTCACTATTCAAACTGAGCATGATAGGCCAGGCTTACTGTAGATGTGTTTGGAGATTCTATAAATATGGAATAAACAAGTGTCAGTATTGCAACGCTACCATAACTGGTATTGCACATCTTCTCAATTCCTGTAGAGGTGCCTCTTGAACTACATGTGCAAGGCAACGTTTAGACCATTGCAGAACCAAATGTGTCCATCCATCTTGTTTTTTTTTATTGTGAGTACAGGTAATTAATTAATTGTATATGTGCACATTACTCTCTGTATAATTAAGCATTCTTCAGAAGTGTGATTAAGAGGAAGTTTTAGGCTTCAGATTGGCTGAATTCTAAACATTGAAATAACCTTGCTTAATACAATACAAACTTTAAATTGATTAGTAATATGGAGATATTTCAATACACCATATTTTTCATCAGTAGCAAGAAGCCATGGGGGAATATCAATGACAAAATATTACAATAGAGCAGTTAGTAACAAAAAATCTAATAAGACCCTAATTACATGCTACTTCCCAGTTTTCACCACTACTTAATTTCTGAAGTGAAAAAATGTAACGAGTCTTGCAACAAGCTCTTCGTTGTAATTTTCTTCCCCTTTTCTCCCCACTTCCTCCTGGCAAATAGTCATTTCATTCATCTAAAAATATGTCAGATTCACTGTTAAGGATTTAACCTAAAATTCAGATTGTTTGAAGTCAAAATTTGAAAGTTCTAATTTTGTTCTTTGGCATCTGACGCTCATGATCCAAACATTCTGCCCTAGTAATCAGTGAATCTAAAGGCTTCATCAGAACTGATGGTCTACATGAGTTTATCATAATTGTGCTTTTGATTGTATGGGTATTTGATTGCTTCTCCTCCAGGTTATATTGTAGATGTTACATTGGAGAGTTTTGAGCATTTAATTTAGTTACAATTCTTTGCATTTATTGCATGCTGCTTTCTTGTGTGGAGTCTTCACCTGAGTTCTAAGTGTGAATTGTACAGCAGGATTGGTAATATGAAATATTAATTGGTAACACAAAAATAATGGAAAGATGTCATTTATTTTTATTGAATGTTTATAGACCATGAGTGAAGGAAGCTAGAATGACAAAAAACAGTCATGCTACTAAGAATAAATGATGAATGGTAACCAAGACAAGTGAAGGAAATGGGGAAAACTAAATTTAAAAGAGAAAATTGACAACTTTGAAAGAAATAAACAGAAAACTAAGTCAATAGTAAGGAAAGTCTGTGTGAAGGATTAAAAGGCAAGACTTGGGATTCGGGTTATTGTAACTTGTATCAGAGTTGCTAATATTACCTTTTCACATATTAGCTGTTGATCTAGTAACATGGAAGGTGTAAACAATGCTTCTAATTTCAAAAGGGCTTTTCCCTAGTATCCATAATAGGAAGAGGTAACTTGGCCTGTTGTCAATTCTTTGACATGAGTGCTATATTTTAGTATTGGTCACTATTAGGTATCCTCTTGTCAGTTATCCTCTTGCTGTAGGATGAGAATTTCATTTGGGAAAAATCAGTTGTTATTCAAGTCTTGATTATTTGTACTAGAGAGGTGAGAAGATAAATAGTTTTGGGGGTGGGAAGAGAATTTCTCAACTCGCTATCTTTATAGAGACTTCATTGATGGTAACTATGTAACTTCCATAAATGTGTAATAAATTTCTATATATTTATCAGGGACCTATTACCTGATTCCTGCTACTGCTCTCAAAATAGTCACTCCACTTTACAATATAACCTGTGAAATGCTTTGGGAAGTCCTCCTGCCATGAAAGACACTATACCAGAAGGATTATTATCCAGCTCTCATTTTTGGACAGCTGTTTTATGTCCTGCCTACGATCTTATGGTTTAATTGGGGTTTCTCATTATGATATACAGGAGAAGGTTTAGGCTTCAGAAATGTGAAGATCATGAAATGATGTACGTAGTTTTGGATGTATTCACTATTTAATATTGAGCACATAATAACATGAACTGGGGGCAATCATATGATTGTAATGTTTGGTGTAGGGACCGAAAGCAACTTGATCTGCCGGTTGTGTTTTCCAGTATAATTCACGAGTCTTTGTGGTCATATAATTAATTAAACTGGCATGATTATTGATCCTTAGCAGAGGAACTTCTAGGAGTTTATGTAAGACCTGTTCTTACTAAGTCGGACCAAAGATCTTCAGTTGACCTGCTTTTTTAAAAAGTGTAATTTCTAGTTGAAAGGTAGGTAGATTGGGGAGAAAAAATGAGGGTGGAAAAAGCTGAGAATGTCTAAATGATTGTGCAATAGTTGTAGTACATAACAAAGGAGACTTAAATAATGTGCATTTCTTTCTAAACTAGATTGATGATTGTTCACTTTGAACTTTTTAATTTCCACAAACCATTTCATGTGAATTTCCATTAAATGTTAAATCTATTTTATAAAGCAACTGGAAAAATTATAGCATTTCAGACTGCTCTTAAAAATAATCAAAAGGAGCTTAGCATATTAAAATAACCTTGTTTTCCAAAGCAATGGAAATTTAGATGTTGCCAAAACGAATGGACAACTTTGAGAATGCTGGTCTGCGGTCCATTGGATTTACATGTCTTGATTGGTCATTTGGAAATACGGCTTGTGCTGTTAAAGGAGTGAGGGTTCATTTAAATATCACCATTTTTTTGGCCAGTTAATACTTTTAATTCTGCTTCCTGTTGTGTGAAAGTGAGCAGTCACTGTACATTGGTCTTCATTGTAATACATTCATGTCCAAAAGCCTTGTAGTTCAAAATGTACTAGTGAAATTTAGATGTAATTAATTTAATGTTATAAGCAGATGACATTAGAGCATATTGGAAATTAAAGCATTCATGCAGCTGTATTGTGATTAATACAATGCAATAATTGAGTTTGTAACTCTTTCAGTGGTTCTGATGCTACTGTTCATTGTTGTCCAGTTAAAACAAAAAGAATTGTGTGTGTGCACACGGAAAGTTGTTTTCATATTCATGTTTGGTCGTTGTGTAAAAATCCTGGAAAAATAAAAGTTTACAAAATTGTGATGGTATTCCAATATTTTCAATATTTGTTATTTTAATGACATACAACATACATTATTGAAGGTGAGAATCGTTTGTTTGCAGTCCACAGCAACGTGTATTGGAAAATGGGACTGGAAAAGATTATTCTGATGTATGCACGTAAGTATACATTGGGAAGGACAAGTTTGCAGGGTTATGGGGAGGGGGATTGATTTGGATAGCTTTTTTAAAAGAGCCAACACAGACAAATGGCCTCTTGTGCTTTATGATTCTATGAACTGATCATAAGAATTAAATATAAAAAACATTTAGTACAACCTCTGGCCTGATATTAACATGACAATTATGCTCATAATATAATACATTAAATAAAATTACTGCTGTTGTGCTGATCATTTTATTTGAGATTTTAAAAGACATTGAAAAAGATCTGCTTCAAAAAGATGGACTGAAGCAACCATTAATACCATGAATACAAAAATATTTGTATTCTGTGAAAAGACTGGAATTAAAGTATTCACAAATCAGAAGTCCTCCAGAATGTGAGTCAACCAGTAGTATACAGACCAACAAATCCAACATCCAAACAAGGATTAGGACTGATCTGTCTCTTCACCCAAATATTGCGTACATTCTTCCCCTCAACCACCTGGGTTTAGTAACACAGACAGCTACAGTTTAAACACCCATTTTAAAGTGCATTTATGATTAAATAATCTCATAGCAAGCAGCACTATGTTTGACACCCATGCCAACAATAAAAACAACTAAATGTGACCACTTTTATTAAATAATGACTGGAAACTTATAAAAGATGATATTGATTGCAGAAATGTGCAATACCTTTCATGCTGTAAAAATAAAGCAAGAAAAAAGTTAGTATAATAAGCAGAACTGTACATTTTAAACCATGTACAATTATTTAATCAAAATGCAAAATACTGCATATGCTGGAAATCTGAAACAAAAACAAAGTTGCTGGGAACACTCAGCAGGTCAGGCAGCGTCTATGGAGAAAGGAAAGTAAGTGAATGTTTCAGGGCCACAACCCTTCGTCAGAACTGGTGCACGTAGGGAGGGAGAGGTTTTTAAGGACTAACAGGTGGGAGACAGGACAACAAACAACAAAAATTACATTTGTATAGCGCCTTTCACGTTGGGAGGACATCCCAAGGCACTGGACAGACAGAGTTTCAGACCTGAGGTCGGGGAGGGTGGAGGGCGGGATAGGAAGCAGGGAGATCGAAAGTACAGTCAAAGGAGGGTCTTGAGATGGGTCTTGAAGGTGGCAAGGGAGGGGGCAAGGCAGAGGAAATGTGGGATGGAGTTCCAGAGGGTGGGGGGCAGAGTGGCAGAAGGCCCGCCCGCCAATAGTGGGGCGAGCGAGGCGGGGGACGTGAAGCAGGCCAGAGCCCACTGAGCGGAGGGAGCGAGCAGGATTGTAGGGGGTTGGGGGGAGCAAGGGCAGAGCAAGGAAGACAGGAGAAAATGATGTAGAGGACAGGGATGATGGGTTAAAGAGGTTAATGAAGCAAAACCAGGAATGGGGAAGCTTAGCTATGAGGACAGGCTGGAAAAGTTAGGACTTTTCCCATTAGAGCAGAGAAGGTTACGCGGGGACCTGATAGAGAAGATTACACGGGGACCTGACTGGTCACAGTCTTAAGATATCTACCAAAAGAAGCAGAGGGGAGGTTAGAAGAATTTTTTTCACTCAGCAAGTTGTTAGAATTTGGAATGATCTGCCCGAAAGGGCAGTGAAGTCCGATTCGAAAACAGCTTTTAAGAGAGAACTGGATAGGTATCTGGAGAACACAGGTTTGCAGGGTTATGGGGAGAAAGCTGGTGAGTGGGGTTAATAAAAGTCAGTTGCTCTGTCAAAGAGCCGGTACAGACTCGATGGGCCGAATGGCCTCCTTCTGTGTAACATTCTATGATTCTATGAAAACAAAAGGGGATTGCAACAAAGCAAAACAAAATAAACAACAACAACAAGATTCCATTTATAAAGCGCCTTTCACGTCAGGAGGACGTCCCAAGGCGCTGCACAGTTGGGTCATGACCCGAGCAGGGGGGAAATGGTCAGGGTGAGGGGAGGGAAGGGAGGGAGCGAGGAGGGGGGAAATGGTCAGGGTAAGGGGAGGGAAGGGAGGGAGCGAGGAGGGGGAAGAGAGTCGAGAGGGGAGCTGAAGGCACGGTCAAAGAGAAAGGTTTGAGACCGGCCTTGAAGGAGGAGGGAGGAGGCGGCGAAGGCATTGGGGGATGGAGTTCCAGAGCCTGGGGGCTGAGAGGCTGAAGGCCCGACCACCGATGGTAGGGCGGTTGGGGCGGGGGACATGGAGCAGACCGGAGCCAGAGGAACGGAGGGTACGGGCAGGTAGGTAGGGGGATAGTAGGTCGGAGAGGTAGGAGGGAGCAAGGCCGTGAATGGCCTTGTAGGTGAGGATGAGGATCTTGAAATCAATCCTCTGGGGGATGGGGAGCCAGTGGAGGCGAGCGAGGGTGGGAGTGATGTGGTCCCGAAGCCTGGTGCGGGACAGTACACGAGCTGCAGAGTTCTGAATGACCTGCAGCTTGTGGAGGGAGGTGGCGGGAAGGCCGGCGAGGAGAGAGTTCCCATAGTCCAGCCTTGAGGTGACAAAGGCGTGAACCAGGGTTTCAGCAGCGTGAGGGGTGAGGTAATGCCGTAGTCTGGCGATGTTCCGGAGGTGATGGAAGGCGGTGCCAGTTGTGGTGCGGATGTGAGGGAGAAAGGACAGCTCAGGGTCGAACGAAACGCCGAGGTTCCTGACTGGCTTTGCGAGGTGGAGAGTGCAGCCTTGGATGCTGATGGTGTCAGCGCCTGAGGTGCGGAGGCGCTGACGTGAGCCAATCAGGAGGGCCTCGGTTTTTCGCACGTTGAGCTGAAGAAAGTTGTCTCTCGTCCAGAGGGGGCAAATTGCAATAAAACAGGCAGACCAGAGAGAAAAGATGTGTCTGGGACCCAGATGATGTGGTAATGGTTACAGAAGAGGGGGAAAGTAAGCTGTTATGGCCTGAAATTATTGAAATCAATATTGAGGCCAGAGGACTGTACGGTTCCCAGCAGATAAATGAGGTTCTGTTCCTCGAGCTTGCGCTGTGGTTCATTGGAATAGCGTAGGAGACCATTGACGGCGAGGTCAGTGTGAGTGGGAGGGAGAGTTGAAGTGGTGCTCCCTCCAGCTTCTGTGACCATTACCACATCATCTGGGTCCCAGACACACCTCTTCTCTCTCTGGTCTGCTTGTTTTATTGCAATTTGCCCATTTTATTTTGTTTTGCATTATTAACACCTCTATTCCCCTGCTTTGTTGCAATCCCTCCTTTTATTTTGCTTCATTAACCTCTTTACCCCATCATCCCCTGTTCTCTATATCATTTTCTCCTTTGTCTTCCTTGCCCTGCCTTCCCCCTCTCTGTTAGTCCTTAAAAGCCTCTCCCTCCCAACATGCATTGTGGACTCGAAACGTTGACTCATTTTCCTTTTTCCATAGATGCTGCCTGACCTGCTGAGTGTTACCAGCGACTTCTGTTTTTGTTACAATTATTTGATAATAAGTCAGGGTTTGGAATGTATTTTTCAGATGTTTGAGTACTGCTCCATTTGAAGATGTTACTAACTGCTATGTTATACTCTGGTAGATGCCCATAGAAACAACTATTATAAATGTTTCTGGACCATTTCACCATCTGACCTACAGTTATCTCTGCAGTGAATGGCTCAGGACCAGAGTGAACCACGATGACATTCCGTATATTCATGTTGCAATGATTTCATGTGCTTTTTCCATTAAAAAACAGAAACTCCTGGATTTCCAAATATAAAAGTGGCAGCTGCACTATAGAGCAAAATTCAAGGGTCAGTACCCCAGCTTTTATTGCAATGCGCTGTAATGAATAAGCAACATCCATTGAGGGAAATTAGCCTGAGAGAAAGATGCATTGAGTGAATCTTGTAGGCTAGATAGGAAAAATAGAGGTGAAGAAGAAGTTGCGAGAATGTGAATGCATTGCCACTGCAAACCTGCAAGAATAATAATAATCCTTACATTTGATATAGAGCCTATCACGTATTCGAGACTTCTCAAAATGCTTCACAGAAGTAAAGTGAATTGACTGTATATTTTGTGGGTGAAAAAAAGATGTTTAAGAGGGAAATTGATTATAAAACCCACTGTTATCCTCTAGACTTTGTTTGAGTTGTAGATGATAGGTATGAATTAATTGAATTTTTAATTAATATGGCATAATCTAAGTCTCTCACCTGATGGTGCATTTGACATTTGACATGGCATCTTCTCCCTGAAGTGTGGCACAATTACTGTCAAAATGCCAAGACAAATCCCAACAGCAGCTGCCACAATCCCAACAGTCATCCCTACAGTTTCTTTAAAACCAAAAATCTCTGGAAAAAAATAAGAAAAAATACACTGATTTATATCTCTGGAGTCCCGTAACATAGTGGTTAATGCATTCGCTTCACACGCGAGAGGACCCAGGTTCGATTTCTGGGCAGGGCAAAACCTTAGGCAAGTTTCCTCACTCCACACAGCTCTGTTTACCTGGCAGTAATTAGGAACCTGTTTGTTAGTCAATTGGCCGATCGCTTTCTAGGGGTAATAATCCCTTGCCCCCAAAAATTTAGTCACTTAATCCACGACTGTTTGTGGTAAACTGCTGTGTGTAATTAATTGGCTACCGCGTTTTGACTACGAAATATACAATCAATTCACTTTACAATGTATTCTGTGAAGCGCTTTTAAGTCATCTCAGTGACAGGATAAGGCTCTATATCAAATGTAAGGATTATTTTTATCACTGAAAAGTTTAATCTAAGAAAAGATATAATAAATAATCCTTGCATTTGATATTGTGCCTCATCACATTGAGATGTCTCAAATCACTTCAGGATTTTATTGCAAATGTTGTTGTTGTAATAGTAGGCAAACAGAAGACAATTTGCACACAGCAATATCCCACAAACAGCCTTGAAGGGATTCACTAATTATCTATTTGGAGGATTGCTGACCAGTACAGGAGGAGGAAAATCTCCCTCCTTTTTTTCAATTGGTGGCTTGGAATCTTTCACATCCAGCTGATCAGGCAGAGTCAGAAGTGAGAGTCCTACCAACAAACCAGGCCGACGCCTAAAAGGTGGGTTAACTCACATGTGTAGTAATCTTATTTTCTGAATGTAAATCACGAAAGGTAAGATTAAAGCCTTAATGGACCCACTTAAAATATAAGAAATGGGTATGTATCGGTTTAAGAATTAGGTGATGCTTATAAGCACATGGATACATTGATGATAAATGTCATCACATCTTTTCGGACGTTCAATAACACAACCAAAAGTTACCTGCTTTTTGTTTTACCACAAGATGTGCTCCGTCACCACTTAAATCTCTCCCATCGGGAAGTAACAATGTACAGAAATATCTGCCATGGTCACTTTTGGTTACATTCAGAATTGTCATAGAAGCATCTCCTTTTGACAGATCACCACTCAGAAAGACTCGGTTTGAATAGATGGTGGAGTCAGATGTGTTGTATGTTAGGATAGGCATCCTCCCAGTGATGTCTTCCCTGTACCATGTAACAGAGAGTCCACCTGGATATGCCTCATCAACATTATTGTGATATCTACATGGCAAAATCACAGATTTCCCTTCCTGAACTTTCAGCTTGCCAAAGCCCTGCTCTATAAATGGTCGCTCTGATTGAGTCGGTCCTGCTTTAACAGTGGTTTCAGCAGCATCAGTTGCATTTGAAAAGGCCTTGATTTCAGTAAATAACGATCCATTCCCAACCGGCCTGTGGAAGGCTGTTGCAACTCCTCCCGAGCTGATATTTTTTAATTCGTCCGATATTCGTTCAGCCACAGTTTCATTATACAGGATTTCAGGATGAGAGAAGAACCAGGTGGCACTTCCACTTCCAGTCACATTGTCAGCTTTGATGAATGCAGCTAGTGTGACAAACAAGAAACCTTTAGTCAGAATTTAATACATTCTCACATTTGGTGTTATCCAGATGCAAATACAGACCTCTTTCTCCTATGGGTATTTTGCCTGATCTGAAGCAGCTAGTGAATAGGAAACACCAAACATTTCATTTTATCAGCTGAAAATTATAAGTAACGTTCCTTGCATTGTCTGATTTCAGCTATTTTGTTTTAGCTTTGCTCTCCACTTACGCACTTTCCAGCAACTGCTGAGAATGTCATCAAAATAAAGTTTCTCCCTCTGCCTGTATCTCTGATCAACCTCCCACAACTCCAACATAAAATCCAACATAAAGTTCAATGTGAGAATCTTTTACTCGCTTGAGTTCACGAGTCAGGCAGTAAATTTAACTATGCAGCGTGCATAATAATAACTAATTGTAAAATACTGATGGTAATTACTCTGTTGTGAGTAGTTCAAGGGTTGATGAATCAATATGCATTTGTGTGTGTCTGTGCTCAATCTATTTAATTACCAAGAGACCTATTGCCATCTCATTCCAGTGCTCTAATATTAGAATCAAAGCATGTGGTTTCAGATCATGGGATCTCATTGCATAAACGGTGTGATATTCTGTAGCTCAGAAGAAAGAGTAAAGTGGACAGACATGGGAACGAATATGACTTAGAAGTTTTTTTTACAGGCAAAATAATAAAGGGATGAAATGAAAGAGACAGAAAGAAAAAGAATATTACATTCAAAATCCATTTGCCGGTACTCATAAAAAAGAATCCTGCTACATTAATATAAAAACACTGTTTTTATACAAATGCAGTATTTATTTAAGATCACTCTTTAAAAAAATCTCGTAATGATAATTTTGTAACTGTTCATAAATTGACAAATTTATTTCTTTTGAGAAGTGAAAATAATTGCTGCACAACTACATTTATACAATTATCTTTGTATTTATTTTAGTAGACTTCCTAAAATATGTAAACTCTCCTCTGTTAAGTTATAAACCACGATGTTCAACAAAATATTCCTGTTCCGAAGTTAGATGGTAGCTGAACTAACAGATTAATGGATATATCCCAGGTCATCATTTGCATCTCCTGTTCCAGAGTAATGTACCAAATTCCAAGGAGCATATTAGGGTCGAATATGTGATGTAAATTTAGAGATTCCGAAAATATTGAAGAGGAATTAATCAGATCTGCCAAAGGTGGAATCCCCAATATTTTTTCAGATTTTAAGTGATATGTATAAATACATATATATATATATCCTACTATTGGAAGGAGCCTCAGTTTATGCAACTCGGATTGTACACCAAGGAATCCTATTAAAAATAATGTGTAGTAAACCCATCATCCAAGAATGTTAAGTTATTTTGAGCAGTCCAATATCGCATTATCAGTTTATAAGTTAATGAACAGAAATTAAAGCTATGTTTAAGTATCATCTTACGCAGTTTGATGTTTACCGCAAAAATTATATGTTTAATACAATTGTCATGCAGCTTAGATTTTAGCCTTTACTCACCAAATAATAATATGGCTGCAAATTGCAAAACTGGAGCAATGAAGAATGTAACACAAGAGGGTTTCATGATGTGTGAGACTTGCATTAGGAAAGAAATGTGGGATGGGCTAGAGAGGATTAGTCACAGTATTTTGTGACGCTTATAATTTATTATAGGTTGTAGATCCTGCGAAACCATTTAGAAAATCAGAAAAATACTTCGTTCATTTTATGTGACACAAAATAGCTTAAAATATTTAAATCTCGATAGATGATTGCATTGTATGTTTTTAATACATTATTGATAATGTAAATTCTAATCAATATGTATGCCATTTAGAAGAAAGAACTTTCATCCACAATATATTTTGCACTGTGATTTACAATGTATTATGGAATACTTATTGTCCATTGAATTATGAGAACAATGTCACTTGTACGCAAAAGTCCTGATAAAATCAACCCACTGCAAAAGGAAAGCAAAATTATTTTACTATGAATCTAATTTACCGCAGCAGAGACAAAGTTATTTTAACATTTCATACTGTTCCTAGTCTATGAGCCTTCCAAATGCAAGTTAATTATGAGCCTAATGCACAAATTGTCCATTTGTTCCCCAAAACTCAGTTGTAGTATTTTAATTATTGCTTTCAATTGGTTTTAAATTACATTGTAGATCTATTACTAACCATGAGAAAGAACAATAGAACAAAATTAAGGATGATCATTGCAACATGTTGTACTTTAAAGTGTGTAACTAAGATATTTCAATTAGAATGAATATAAGATATAAATGTTGACGTTTAACGAATTCAGCAAAGATTTGACCTGATCACTGTTGGTCTTAAATTGGGCTACTATAAGATATCAAGTAGATATTTATATTAAATGAATATTTAATCATATTTTCATAAAATTTAATGCAGCATTTACTTTTCTCAGTCCTCCCTCTTTCACTTCATAGCATAAGCAGTGGCACAAGAGTGTTGCAACTGTTGCAGATCCCATTGCCTAGTCAGGGTCCATTTCTCTTCTGCTATTCAGCCTAAGGTCAGTCCCTAAATACCTACTGACTGGAATTGATGCTAACTAAATGGGGAGAAATTGTTCAAGGGGGTTCACAAAGTACAACATGTCAATGCAAAATATACTTAGAACAATATATAATATAGTAATAATCCTTGCATTTGATATAGCACCTTATCACGTCGAGATGTCTCAAAGCACTTCACATGATACACAGTAAAGTGAATGGACTGTATATTTTGTGGGTGAAACTGTATATAAGTGATGGGGGGCACAAGGAGGGGCAGAGTTGGAAACTTGCCCATAATACCAAAATGGAAATGTTAAGTATCCTTCACCAGGATCCAGATCCTCAGGTTCACAGACACACTTACGTCTAATCTTTACTTTTAAAAATAAATATATTTTATGTATGTGAAGACATTATTGTCATATATACATATATATATACACACACACACACATATATAGGTCATTTTATAATGAACAACAAGCAGAAGTACATTGAGACAATGCATTCAATTCAATCAGAAATTAGTTATTTAGATAATAATAATAATAATAATAATAATAATCCTTGCATTTGATATAGCGCTTTTCACGTCGGGAGGACGTCCCAAAGCGCTTCACAGAACAGACTGTAAAGTGAATTGACTGTATATTTGTGGGCGAACGCGGCAGCCAATTGCGCACAGCAATGTCCCACAAACAGTCGAAGATTGAAAATGACCAATTTATTATTGTTTTTGGAGGGATTATTATTAGGTGTGTGGAGTAAGGAAACTTGCCCAAGGTCTCGCCCTCTGCCTGGAATTGAACTCAGGTCTCTCGCTTGCAAAGCGAGTGCTCTAACCACTGAGCTACAGGACTCCACTACATTCCCAAGATCTACATTCCCCCCCAAACGAGACAAGTGTATCCATTGCTAAAGTAGCCACAAACACCATCCCACCAGTCCAGTGATGTCGCCTGCGGGGAACAGACGGTCACTGTTGGCAGGTTGGGCGGGTTCACGCCCAACTGGGCGGGTTTGTGTTGAGCTGCGCGTGAAATAACGGCTTTGGGCGGCGGTTGGGCGGGAGGGGGGGGATTTTTTTTCGAATTTAAATCTGCAAAACGTGTTTCTCCCCCTCTGAAGACCCCTTTCACCCAGTTTCAAAAGCGCTGACCGATCTCGCCCACTCTACTGCCCCCCCCCCCACCCCCACCCCCCTCCATAGGAGGCAATGCATTAATATTGGGCTACTTTTGGGCTCGGGTTTTGGTGGACTTTGGGCTACAAACGCGTTCATATCTGCCACAAACCGAGCAAAGGACCAGGTGGGGGGAGGGGGGGACATGGAGGAAGAGGAGGAGTGGATGGAGGTGGAGAGCTGCACTGCTGACCCCACAGCCCCGGATCAGCAGCCAAACAGTAAGGTGTGTGTGTGTGTGAGAGAGAGAGAGAGAGAGAGAGGAGGAAAGGGGAGTCTGGATTCCTCCAGGAAGTGTGAGTGATACAGTACAGTCAGAGCATCAGTCACAGCAGGTGTCAGGGCCAAGTGTCAACCCTTTCACACCAACACCACCAACAACAAATTACAGTCACACAGCGACTTCACCTCGGAAGGACGTCCCAAGGCGCTGGACAGTTAAGGGTCTGTACCCGTACCGGGGTTTGGGAGTCACGAGGGATGGAGGGGTACAGGGCAGGCGGGGGGGGTGGGCGGGGCGGGAGGGAGAGCGGCCGAAGGCTCGGTCAAAGAGGAAGGTCTTCAGACGGGTGTTGAAGGAAAGCGAAGGGAGGGCGAGGCGGGAGGGTTCGGGGCTGGTGTTCCGGAGGATGTGAACGGAAACGCTGATGGCGGTAGGGTGGGGGAACACGGAGCAGCGGAGGTTTGCTCGTGCGTAAGGTGTTGAAGAGGCGGCAGAGGTAGGGAGGAGCACGATCGTGGACGGCTTTAGAAGTGAACCCCCCCACGTTCACCCCAACGTTCCCTGACACGGGCTGTGTTTGCCCCACTGGGGTCTCTTGCAAAACTCGGGGCCTCTGCCCGTGTTGCAGCCAGTGGACAGGGTGAGCACATTTTGTAAACCGAATCCTGAGACACATACAGTATACTAAAAAAATTGAACTCACCACAATTCCTGCTGCTGGCAGTACTGGAGAAGCTTGTTGGGTTAATGACTATATTTCTCTGATGAGTGTATCTGCGTGCAAAATCATTCATTGTACATCAAAGACCATTTGTATGTTGATTGGAAGGGCTGATGTACACCATCGGATTGACCATGAATGCTCTTACTGTATTTCCAAGTGAGTCCAATTGATCACATGAAACACTTAAGAAAAGCCAAACTGTTCATTTGTTGAAACAAAAACAGAAGTCGTTGGGAACACTCAGCACATTTTGTAAACCGATGGTGTACATCAGCCTCAAAGACTGCCCTTCAATCAACATACAAATGGTCTTTGATGTACAATGAATGATTTTGCACGCAGATACACTCATCAGAGAAATACAGTCATTAATCCAACAAGCTTCTCCAGTACTGCCAGCAGCAGGAATTGTGGTGAGTTCAATTTTTTTAGTATAATAATAATAATAATAATACTGTATGTGTCTCAGGATTCGGTTTACAAAATGTGCTCACCCTGTCCATGTGTCCAGCATCTATGGAGAAAAGAAAGTGAGTCAACGTTTTGGGTCCACAACCCTCGTCAGAGGTGGGGTACATCGGGAGGGAGAGGCTTTTAAGGGCTAACAGTGAGGTGTTAATGATGCAAAACAACGGTTAGGGGGGTTGCAACAAAACAAGGAAATAGAGATGCTAATAATGCAAAACAAGGAGTTGGTGGGGGGAAATTGCAATAAAATAGGCAGAACAGAAAGAGAAAAGGTGTGTCTGGAACCCAGATGATGTGGTAATGATCACAGAAGAGGGGGAGGGGGAAGGTGAGCTGTTATGGTCTGAAATTGTTGAAATCAATATTGAGGCCAGAGTAACAAAAACAGAAGTTGTTTGATTTCCAGCATCGGCAGTATTTTATGTTTTGTTCATTTGTTGATCTGGACTCAAGTGTAAATTTGACAATTATCGGTAATTGCTCCTCTGTTAGTTCGAGTTATAAAATTTGCTGTAGTAGATCCAAGCCCTTTGAGTTACTGTTAACCAGTTTCTCCTCAATGATAGTTATGATCAGAACACATAACATGCCTCTGATATCCTGCTGTCACTGGGAGTTTAGGCCCATTTGTGAAAACAACAACAACAACTTGCATTTATATAGCGTCTTTCATGCAGGGTACCGTCCCAGAGCGCTTGACAGTGGCAGAGCACGACAAGCCATGGAATGTTATAGAATACATATGACTTTGAGGCATGTAACCAACAAAGAAGAATATTTTACGATGACGCCAGAATTCTCACCGAAAGTTTGTTAAAATATATTGCTGCATTGTTGAAACCCATTTTGTTCTCCCTTCATTTGTACATAGGCATCACACACTGAAGAACCCTTGAGCAACTTTAATTCTTTCTTAGATTTGTCAAGTCACAACCAAGACTCAGAGAAGACACGTTTAGCTAATACACATGACTGGAGTACAGACTGGAATTTTTGGGTGAGGTTGCTCTAGTTAAAAATCATCGTTACAAAAATGTTGATAATTATCATTAGAAAACTTTTTTTTACTTAAATTATATATAGAAGAAAAGGTAGTTGGGATCAGGATATTATTACAAGTTAAATGTTACAGGAAACACCTTTAATAAATCAACAGCAATGCATATTTACATAACATCTTTCACACAAAAGAAATATCTTAAAGCACTTTGCACAATGGGACTAATGATAAATGAAGTGAATGTTATCTGAGTAAATATTCATAGATTCATAGATTCATAGAATGTTACGGCACAGAAGGAGGCCATTCGGCCCATCGAGTCTGTGCCGGCTCTTTGACAGAGCAAGTCAATTTCACTCACCCCAATCACCAGCTTTCTCCCCATAACCCTGCAAATCCATCTTCCCCAGATACCTATCCAGTTCTCTCTTTAAAAGCTGTTATCGAATCGGACTTCACTACCCTTTCAGGCAGATCATTCCAAATTCGAACAACTCGCTGAGTGAAAAAATTTCTTCTAACCTCTCCTCTGCTTCTTTTGGTAGATATCTTAAGACTGTGACCACAGGTCACAGACACAACTACCAGCGGAAACAGCTTTTCCCTATCTAGCCTGTCGAAACCTTTCATGATCTTGAAGACCTCTATCAGGTCCCCGCGTAACCTTCTCTGCTCTAATGGGAAAAGTCCTAACTTCTCCAGCCTGTCCTCATAGCTAAGGTTCCCCATTCCTGGTATCATTCTCGTGAATCTCCTCTGCACCCTTTCCAGTGCCTTAATGTCCTTCCTGAAGTAAGGTGCCCAGAACTGGACGCAGTACTCCAGCTGAGGCCTAACCAGTGTTTTGTATAGATTAACCATAACCTCCCTACTCTTATACTCTATGCCCCTACTAATAAAGCTCAGTACACCAAATGCCTTTTTACTGCCTTATCAACCTGCCCCGCTACCTTTAATGATTCGCTTACTTGAACACCCAGATCTCTCTGTACGTTCACCCTCCTTAAGACTGAGCTACCAAGTCTATATTGCCTCCTATCATTTTTCCTACCTAAATGTATCACCTCACACTTATCCACATTGAAATCCATCTGCCACATGTCAGCCCATTCCACCATTCTGTGTATGTCTGCCTACAGTTGGTTACAGGCCTCCTCACTATTTACTACCCTACCTACTTTGTATCATCTGCAAACTTGGAAATAGTGCTCTCTATGCCCAAGTCCAGATCATTAATATATATTAGAAAGAGCAGTGGTACCAATACCGATCCCTGGGGGAAACCGCTGCACACCTCCTTCCATTTCAAGAAACACCCATTAACCACCACCCTCTGCTTTCTGTCACTCAGTCAGTTCTTAATCCAAACTGCCACTGTCCCCTTAATACCCTGGGCCTCTAATTTTTGTATTAATCTCTTATGCGGTACTGTGTCAAAAGTCTTTTTGAAATCCATGTAAATAACGTCCACCGCATTTTCCTCATCAAACCTCGCAGTCACCTCTTCCAAAAATTCTGTTCGATTTGTTAGGCAAGATTTGCCTTTAACAAATCCACGTTGGCTGTCTCTAATTACCTCATGTTCCTCTAAGTAGAGATTTATTCTAAATATGTTAGCTAATTTGGACCAATCACATCCTAAATAAAATGAACAGCTAATGAATTTGAATTTAGGGTTGAATTCAGGTGAGGGGGGAGTTTATAACAGTACAATGGAGAATTTCCCCACTTTTCTTTGAAAATAACAAGGGCTGGAAGAATGGGAATTCCTTAAGCAAGGCAGGGTTTGGTCACATTCCATAGTGTTGAATGTATTCATAGTATTGAATACACTTGTGTGGATATAGAGCTTAATAATAATTTCTCACATTTAGTATAGTGCCTTTTACATCAGGGGAACATCTCAAGGGGCTTCACAGGAAACCTTCACGTGCCACATGAAGGTAGATTATGCATCACATTTTGATAGTACATTCACTATCAATAGTGATAGTGCAATGATTTTGAAAGAACCTTCAGTCATGTGTGCTAAGTGAGCTCTTTTGTTCTGTGGATTCTGATTTCATATACTGTATATATTAATGCAGTGTTCAGGGAAGACTGCACTATTTCACATGATCTATTTGTCAAAACTATAGTTTCACATGTTATTGCAATGTTGTAATAGTGCCTCCATATTTTTAATTATAAAACACATACTATGTATGCAATCAATATTTTGTTTCTGAAAGTATTTGAGAAAAATGTATGATTTATTACATTATGACTTTTTTTTCCCATTCAGCCTCCCAAGTGTTATTGTTTTTTTTAAAATCAACTCCAAGACCATCAAGGTTCTTTATAGCACAACACTTCACTGAACATGGACAATTTAGTTAACTTCTGATTTTGCTAAATTCTCTAATAATGATTCTCAAAATGAACACATTGCTTTTTTATTTTCAAAATTATTTCACCCTAAGGAAGTGAAGGTAGACAATTTATACAGCAAATACTTTGCTTTTCAACCGCTGTTGAATTCACTTTCATAAATAAATAGTTTTGGTCATTTCCAAAAGTTCCAAATCAATTAACTTATAATAATCCTTAAATGTGATACAGTGCTTTTCATGTTGGGAGAACTTCTCAGAGTGCTTCCTGGGATTTAGTGTAAGATGTAGTATTTTATAATAATAATCCTTGCATTTGATAGAGCGCCTTATCACGTCTTTGAGACATCTCAAAGCGCTTCACAGAATTGACTATATATGTTTGCCTTTTGAAGCAAACTTGCACAGTACAATGTCCCATAAATAGCCATGAGATGAATGACCAAACCTATCTTGCTTTTTTATATTAAGTTTATTATATCATATTACAGCTTGTCTATCCTACATACAAGCAGAGGAATGATGAATTCAAAAAACAATTCAAAGAACTTCCAGAATCTGAATCCCTTATAGAAGGCAAGTAAGAAACTTTTCATCAAAATTAGTTGTTATATAAAAATCTAAATTAAAATAGTTTACATGTATTAACAGCTTCCCCTTAAGTAGGGAACAATTGAGCTAATCAGATATCTTTTCCAGGACACTATATGATTAGAGCTATCAGATTTTCCTAACATAATGTTTAAATGTTACTTGCTTAATAATGATTGGTCAGTTGAAGAAAGTGTATTTCTCTTATACATTACTCTAAGGCAGAAATATTGAATTCTGGAGGTACAAAAGCAATCTTGATCTGGGTGACAAAGACACTGCATGTTGGAGGACCAACACAAAGCACTGAAGTGGAAAGGGACATACAGTCTGAGTAGTTTCTTAGTTGTATTCCTGGTCCCAGCTCACCAGCGGGTATGAGCTGAAATTATTTGAGGTTTCCATTATGTTCCTCCGAGGCACTATCTTACAGAGGTACCAGTAGTGATCACTTCCTGGCAGAAAATCTGTATGACCCATGGGAGGGCCTGTGAGAGAAGATGGACAAACATTGGATTGGGGATATTTCAGTCACAAAGAAATGCAATGCTGATGGAATATCCACAGAAATACCTTTAGAGGACAAGGACATTCAAAATGACTACAAAGTGCAGAATGAGAGAAAGCTGTTAATTCACAATATTGCTCAATCAGATAAACCAGAGAGACAATTTGTTCCTCACTTGTGATCATCCCAGAATCGATAACATTATACAAGATGACCAAGTTAGTAGCGCACTTGGATGTTGCCAGACTTTGATGTTACAGGACTTTGTGAAGTCCTGTAGCTCAGTGGTGAGAGCACTTACCTCGCAATAAGAAGACCTGGGTTTGATTACCGGGCTGGGTGAACCATTAGGCAAATTTCTTTACTCCACACACCTCTGTTTATCCAGCAGTAAGTAGGATCCCGGTTGTTAGTCGATTGGCGGATCACTTTTCTGGGGGAAATAATCAGCACCTTAGGACGTCCTTCTGATGTCAGGAGGATGTCCCAAGTGCCCTTATGAAGAAGCTGCAAAACTTTCTCCTGCAACTTCTGGGCTAACGCTCTGGGAGTATTTTCATGAGATCTATGAATAGCTTCATCAAGCAGATCCATATTCTCCTCCAGAATGCTATGCACTGCTAATGGGAACATCGCGGGTCTCGTGTGTCATCAGTCTCTCTGGGCTGCTGTTGGAGACCCTCCAGCTTGAATGATATATCCTGCAAAAGGTTTTATGAAATATCACCAATAATTTGAGGATCTTCCTCTGGATTGGCAGTGCAGTGCAAACTGAGGTCTCTAGGTGGCAAATCTTTGGGTGACTAATACTGTATTATTGCCTCATGGTTGATATCTGCAGAACTGAATGAAGACAACTACAGAAGCATGGACCATTTTCTATGAATTACACTGGATCACATGTGCACTTGAAATGAAAATAGACTATTGCAGACAATTTGAGTGGCAGAACAGAGATGCAATTCAAATGCAGCAAAATATTTTGGGACACAATGCGTATTAGAAACTGAACGGAATTGAATATCAAAAATGCATGAATTATTTTTTCCTTAACCAGTAGAAGTATATAAATCATAAAAGCTTTCAATTAATATGCTTGGGAGAGAAAATTATGCTGGTTATTTGTAAAAGCTTTAACAAAAACATAACAAGTGACATTTTAATACTTCCATTGATGATAGTTGCATCAAGAGAAAGAAGTTTAAAAGGAAACTTCACAACAGACTAAGTGTTTCAAGTGTTTACAAACTTAGCTACAAATATTGTAACATTTGATTGTCTAATTTTTATTTTCTCTTTTATCTGTTTATGTTGATACAGATTATGCATGTGCACTACAGAAGGACATATTGTGTCAGGGACGTCTCTACCTCTCTGAGAACTGGCTTTGTTTTCATAGTAATATCTTTCGATGGGAAACGTCTGTAAGTTACTTTATGTGGGAGGAAAATTGCTAAAATTGTCTGATACGAGTAAGCAACATAGACTGCAGAGATGGCTTTGAGGTTCTCCACCACACGGTATCTGAAACATTATGCTGGTGATTTTCATAATGCAGCATAATAGTGAGTTTATTTCTGCTGCTTAACGAATCAGCAACAAGGGAGTCTAAACTCTAGTTTATTACTAGAAGCTTAAAGGGAGAAGTTGCAATTTTTTTACAGGTGCGATTGTGCATTGTTACTGAAACTGAGTCAATAAAGAGTTTTAAAAGGGAATTAGAATACACTCTGGAAGATTAAAAATCTAAAACGTATGAGGAAAGAGCAGTAAAAGGTACTAAAGTAGATAATAACAAATGGAGGTAACATGGCAGATGAATTTTATATAATTAATATTAAAAAACAGTACTTTTTCTGAGATTGTAAAGTATACTGGGACATTGTCTGAATCCATATAATATGTTGGCATAGAATGTTGGCAAAGAAATGCTTTGTTGGAGGTGTGCCCCATCGGATGAAATTTTAAACCAAGGTCGCATTAACCTGATCAGATGGATGTTAAAGATCTCATGACACTGTTTGAAAGAGATGGGAGTTTCTCCTGTTGCCTTGGCCAACAATCGTCCAAATGAATTTGTTATTCACTTCATGATTGATTGTTTACGGGAACATGCTGTACACAAATCGGCTGTTGTATTTACTTACATTTGACAATTATTAATATTACAGGCCCTGTATTAAATGTAAGGATTAGTATAAATAATTAAGTATTTATCTGAAGTTTATACTTTATATACTACTAATCATTACAAAGATAACATTCATGATTTGTACTTTTACCAATAGAACATTTTTGTTTAACAGATTACATTTGCTTTGAAGGACATTATCTCGATGACAAAAGCGAAAATGGCAAGACTGATACCCAATGCTATTCAGATTTGTACAACAACTGAAAAGGTAAAGCTGTTTTCCAAGATTAAGTAAAACAGTTGCTTAATCTTTTATTTATTAAGTAAACTGTTTATTTCTTGATGTATACAAACACACAACTTTATAAAAATAAACTATCAACCATTCAAAAACTTTTGGTGTAGCTTTTGAAAAAATTCTACAACACTGCTTGGATTCTTTAAAAAGAGATAAACTGTTATCTGTAAGCTTTTAGATGCAAGAGTACAGAACATTAAGGACATCCATTACTTTCACTTAGGGTATTGTTCAAAGCTTCACTCTTGCTGTGCACAGCTTGAGATAATTTATACAATAACAGATACAACAGGTATTTTGTTATTGCATTACGTATTAAAATAAACTCAACTGTAGTTTTCTATATATGGACTTATTGCATACAATTCAAATATAAAAAGGGACATGACTCAACACAAGAGGATTTTTCTGATGCCACCATATAAATTAAAGAGAGATGGATACACAGTGCTTGCTGCCTCAAAACTGGGTTATAAAAAGCACACTTGATGATACACAGTTTATTTATATGCAATACAATACAAATTTACATTTATATTACACCTTTCGCATTGGGAGAACAACCCAAGTTGCTTGTCAGTCCTAGCTTGGCACCCAAACTGGTGGTGGGAGCCAAGAGGGGTAGGAAGGGGAAAGATGACCAAAAGCGATGATTCCAGATCACAGAAAAAAAGTAAAAAGGTGTCAAACAATTTAAGAGCCAAATGTAAAATATTAAAACTATGGGCTGATCTATCTATGACCACTCAAAACCCCAACTAGGATTCGAAATTGTATTCATATACTATGCTCAGTAGAAACCAGATAAAAAGAACCAAAATATTTATTTGGTAGCTAAATGTTTTGTTATTTTTTTGATAGCTTTATTTCACTTCTTTTACTGCAAGAGAACGAACCTATCTCAATATCTTCCGAATGTGGCAAAATGCACTGCTTGACAAGGTAGGAATGAAGATGTCAAAAAAAATTCTGAAAATCAATGGTGGCAATGATCAATAATATTAAAAAAAGGGCCATTATATGCCATTATATGTTTCCCTAGCAGAAATACAGTATCTTACAGTTATTTATAATTTTAGAAATAAAGTAGTTTTAAAAATGTTTTAAAATAAACTCACCCAGCACTTATTTGTGATTGTTCTAGGATCCATTTATGTCATGTTTTAAAATGTTGTGCTGTCTGTTGTTTATGTATTTCAAGTGTATTAGAAGAGAAATAACAGGGAGCAAAATTTCTAGACTGTTATCCCCATGAAAAATTCTTGTCCTGTTGTATGTCATTCCCCTAAATTGCAGTTGTGTTCAATTACTTTTCATCCGTTTTGAACACCAGCCCTGGTTTCATTTCTCAAAATATTTTTTTGTTTTTTGATCAGCAAATGAAGCCCCACTTTGCATTCCGTGGCTGTATGGAGAGAATATAATGGCAATTTATGGAAAAAAAAGTCATGTTATGAAACATTACATTCACTTGTAGATTTGAGGTTCATTTGTTTGAACATTGTCAGAAACACAAAGGAATATTTTTGTTATGAATTTTCTTCCTTGTTCGTTTTTTTAAATTTTGGTTGCAAACCACCATAGCTATAAAATGCCAAAACAAAATAGTTGATAAGAGCTTATTATTATTTTACTACAATTATATAAATCGAAAATGTGAGTCGTTTAACAAAACCACATGTTTGGCAACAGTGTAGAGAAATCAAAAATGTCTGCGAGACCATTGTATGTTTCCTACCAGGAGGATCCCCCCTCCAAAAGAACAGCTTGCATTTATACAGCACTTTTCACGTTGGTTAGTGTCTAGAAGTTCTAACAGTGATGAAGCTTGCCATCGAGCTGTGGAAGGAGGGGACGGGACCATAGGCATGGTCAAAGAGGAAGGTCTTAGGTGCATTCTGAAGAGGGGCAAGGAAGGGCATGGCAGAAGGATTGAGGAAGGAAGTTTGGGCTGTAGTGGCTGAAAGCATGCTGCCGATAGTGGAGCAAATGGCCGAGGGACATGTAGAAGGTAATGGAATAACAGCCAACGGTATAAATGCTGCTGTCGGCAACTACTGAACACATTGACGAATATGTTGGTGGTGTAGTTGTAAGTTTGCCTTTTTTTTTAGCTTACCAATACTGTTGTAAGCTAAATCCAGAATCAAGAGGCCACAGCTCCTGTCAGTATTTCTCATTACTTTTTCTGGTGTGACCTTGGGCTATTTTGTTGCTTTATTTTTGTATGAGGCCAGTTTAGTATCAGAGAGACCTTCTCCTTCCTCCTGAGTATTTTTAGACCTGACACTAATTTTATTCACCTTGAAAGAGTGAAGGGCTGAGTAAATCGACCAGACCAGACTCAGAACCCTCTGTTGCTCAACTGGCTGAACTTCTCAGGAAGCTTATCCAGAACTGAAATAAGATTCCAAAATTAAAGAGTCCAGCTCTCGCTTTTCATTTTGGCATCTCCAAGCAACTCAAACTGAAGATCTTATAATTCAAAAGAAATATCCTGTGCTGGTGATATCTGCGTTGGAAGGAAAAACTAGAGAAAATGTACTCCAGCTCAGAAGAAAGAGGGTGAATAGACCGTTCAAGCTGAATTACTTTACATTGAGTGTGGTAAATATAGTATGTGGAATAGATTTCCAAAGGGGTGGTGATTGTTGATTTTCAGAAAACTTGAGAGGGAATAAGATAGCTGTTTGGGAAATTATTGAACTGAGGTATGTGAGAGATAGAAAACAGTGTAGGATTTTTCTTAAACTTTGAGACCAGCCAGATGGTCTTCTGATCATCGACATTCTATAATTAAGTGCTCTTGCTGTCGCTTGGAGCTTCAATGCTGCCACCTTCAGACAAAGTACTGAGGGAGCAGTACAGAATGACGTTTTCTATACAACCGAGTAGAGCAAAAATCACCTGATTGCTCAGGTCATGAAGTTCGTAAAGGGGCGTTGTTCCATATGAGTTACTTTTCACAAATGCAATATCCTGTTTGTATGTGAAGACTATCCTGTTTGTATGTGAAGACTGAACTTCATTCAACAAATGAGAAAGACCACAACTGGTAGACCACCATATGGTAAGGAATGCAACCAAACAAAACAGTTTTGTTTGTGTAGATCAATAAATTAAGCATAGTCTCCTTGAAGCTGACCTAGCTCCAAGCTGACATGATTATCAATGGAATGTCAGAATAAAGCCAATCCTTTTGTGGTGGACTCAGTAATCCAGCGCTTGAGCCAGGTGGGTCCACAGTACTTCAGGGCACTGCTGAGTACAGCCCAACCAGCCTGGCTCATCGGCAGGACTTGAAAAAGCAGACCAATCACTGGTGGCAGGGACTCTTCCCACTCAGCTCCTGTTAACCCTGCAAGCCAAAGTCCTAAGGGGTAGGGTGGTCCTAGCTGGACAAGCAGCAGGAAAGCTTGCCAGGCAGTGCTTTCAATAGCAAACTGTGGTTTTAGCTGATTAGACTCCAGAAATATCCCAGCACAAATTCTGGGGTCACCAAGCCATGGCCTTTGCAAACCTGTGCCTAATTCGCTCCGGAATTATGTCAGCAGAATGCATCCCACCAGAGAGAGTGCATATTGCATTTCACCCAATATCTGAAATTTCCGTGTATAATTGGGATGCATGAAAATCTGTTTGGTTTGGATACTCTTAAGTATGGTTTGGGTTTCCATATGTGTAAGACACCTGGCTGACACAAATAAAAGCATTTACTGTATAAAATACTAAAACTGATTATATTTTTGAATAGATGAGATGGTATTTACAAGCACAAAGCTCTGGTTGAGGCCTGAGTTTTTTTTTATGGATTTCATGAAAGAATATTTTCACATTTTTTTCAATGTTGATAGAAATTGTCTTAATTTCTCATTTCAAAATAGTTTATGTCTTAAAGCAATAACTTTATATTTATTTTGATGGTGTTTTTTGTTGTTTATAGCTTCTCTTAGTGCATTCTGAGCAAGCATTAACACACAGTTGCTTCCTGATAATTGCACAATTTAACTGCGTAGAATTGATTGCCACATCTAAATTCTTGTTGAAACAATTTGCTTGAGGGACTGGAAGGTTGTGATGAAATATTATCATTATTATTAGGTTCCTCTATAAATGAAATTGGGCATTGTTTAAAATTTGGGTAGTGAGAGTAAAAAGATGAAAATAAATGATTGTCGAGGATCTTGACTTCGTTTTTTTTCAGGAAATAACATTATGGGATATAGTACATAGGTAGTTTGGGTCACATGCGCATGCGACTGGTGGAAGGCGAACTAGATGGACCTTGGTCTTTTATCGTCTAGCATTTCTTATGTTCTTATAATAATAAATAATAATAATCCTTGCAATTGACATAGCGCCTTATCACATCGTTTAGACGTTTCAAAGCCCTTCACAGAATATACTGTAAAATGAATTGACTGTATATTTTGTGGGCGAAACGCGGCAGCTAATTGCGTACAGCAGTGTCCCACAAACAGTCGTGGATTGAGTGACCAAATTATTATTTTTTTTAAGGGATTATTACCTATGGAAAACCGATTTGCCAATCAACTTGTGGAGTCCTGTAGCTCAGTGGTTAGAGCACTCGCCTTACAAGCGAGACACCTGGGTTCAATTCCAGGCAGGGCGAAACCTTGGGCAAGTTTCCTTACTCCACACGCCTAATAATAATCCCTCCAAAACAAAAAAAAAATTGGTCATTTGTGGGACACTGCTGCGTGCAATTGGCTGCTTCATTTCGCCCACAAATATACAATCAATTCACTTTACAGCATATTCTGTGAAGCGCTTTGACGTCTAGAAGACCTGAAAAGCGCTATATCAAATGCAAAGATTATTATTATTATTATTATAACTAATGACCGGGGTTCCTACTTACTGTTAGGTAAACAGAGGCGTGGGAGTAAGGAAATTTGCCCAACATTTTGCCCTGCCGGGAATTGAACCCAGGTTTCCTCACTTGTGAGGCGAGTGCTTTCACCACTAAACTGCAGAACTCTACATATTAGCTAACTCAGCACATAACAAGGATTGAACAACATTGGGCCTGTATTGCTAATTATACACTATGTGCTGACATATGTGTATTGATATATATTACAGCTGATATCTGCTGGACAAGGAACCTTTAGGAAATTTAATATTAAAACTACAGTTACGACAGAATAAATACTTGCGCTAATTTGTGATTGTTGCATTTACAATAAGCAGAATTTTTAGTTCAGTATTTAAAAAGATGAATGAAAAATAGCTTTTCTCGCCAAATTTTCATAGCACAGCAGCAGTATGTATGATAGCACAATGCCAGAAACATACAGTAGAGACACAGCATATAATAATATAATGCTGTAGTAACCAAATATATTGTATTAACAATGCAGTTCAGTACTGTACTGTCTCACGTTCAGACAACAGCAGTAAGCCCTATTGGAAACTAAAAACTACATGTTGCTAGCCTCACCCTCACTAAGTCTCTGACACACCTGTAATTAACAACCTTAACAGGAAGCTGTAGCACAGTAACCTTTGAACTAGAAAACCTCCCACTCCAACCTTCAGCACTTGGAATAGCTTCCAAGTTAAACGGCTTCCATCAGCTGTAAATCTGTCACAATAAGTATTTTTGGGGGAGGACCTTGGATCGACAAAGGTAATATTTATCATAATTAAATCAAAAAGAGTTGTTAAACTTTTATACATGAAGTTCATGGTAAACCTCATATGATTGCTTAGATTTTGATTTATTTAAACTTGTTTACATTGAAAACCTGTTTTGCTTCTTCCCAGCTAGTCGTAGAAAACATGAAATTATCTGGTTTGTTCATACATTACTGATGTATTTTTATGAATGTTTAGGTGGTGATGTGATGTTAGTATTTACAAATATTTAAATAAAGAGATGAATCTTTGGGGTGATCTACATAACGTTGCCATTGTGGTCAGTGTTTAAATAGAAATCTGGACCCTTTGCTAAGTGGAGGGCATTCAGCTGGATGTGAACAGAGGATATTGTGTCAATCCTTTTTTCGGGAGGAGGAGAAAGGAACTCAGAGAGGTTTTGGAGATTAGAATATTTTTGATGAAAATATACCTAGAAGATCTTGTAATTCCCCTCCCTGTTGAATGTGCTCTGTTCACTGAGCTATATTTTCATTGATACAAGCTACTCTCCTGTGCGTGCTAACCACTACCCAGCGGAGTCCCTTGCAAGAGGGAGGACCTGGGTTTGATTCCCAGTCGGGGTAAAACCTTAGGCAAGTTTCCTTACTCCACACGCCTCTGGTTACCTATCAGTAAGTAAGAAGCCGGTTGACACTGCTGTGCGCAATTGGCTGTTGCATTTTGCCCGCAAAATACACTTTAGAGTATATTCTGTGAAGCACTTTGAGATGTCTCAATGATGTGATAAGGCACTATATCAAATGCAAGGATTATTATTATTATCATTATTATAGTAATGTGCCCAAGTTCACATATGAGTCCAGGTGGGAAGTGTCAACAAGTTATTTGATAATGAAGGTCAACACTGATGAGCCCAATCCTGCCTAGAGCCAGCACACACATTTTAGTGGAATTGTGACCAACACTGGAAATTCTGGCTTTGTTTTACACTTCCCTAAGCCACAGGGACTGAATCAGCTGAATGAAATGGTAGGGAGTTTGCTAAAGTGTGCTAAATGCTTTACTGCTCCGATATACAAAAAAGTTATCATGTTTTTTAAACATGAAGATAATATGAAATATCTTTGTGTACAAATTTGTTGTGGTGTGGTTCGGTGCAGTATTCGTCATTTAATCCTCAATGTTTTACTTCCAAACAATATAGCTTTGGTTTTGAGTATTGTGGTTGATTCAACACTCTGCTTGTTTCCTCCAATTGACTAACTTGATAACTACAGAGAGATCTCATGGATTTCAGTGGCTCTCAAAGTGGTGCTTCAGGTAGTCACTGCCCGTTTATCGCATGCAATGGAGACTTGTTGTTTGATCAGGAAGGAGTAAGCTAGTTTCCCTTCTCTTGAGGAATGTGTGGGACAGTTTGTGGCTCTATTTGAGGTTGCAGAATGTTGTAAGGCTGAGCTGAATTCCACTTATGTTGCATTCATTGACTTTCTTAAGACTTTTGACCTATTGCCTCATGAGGCCCTTGTGATGAAACTAGAAGCGATGAGAATACATGGCGAACCCTGGATTTTATCTGTAATGTTTATTCCAACTCCATGATTCGTGTTGGGGGTTGACATTGGACTCACTGGACCCAAACTTTCAGATAAGGGTTAATATTACAGTGGTAAAGCTGTCTTGATCCCAACTTGTTAGCTAGAAATGTACAGCATGCGTTGGTACACAGAGAATTCAGTCCCATTAATGCTTTTGTAAGATGCTCCACGTCAGCACCTAGTTAAAGTTAGTAACCTAGCTCACTGTTGATCAACATTACAGATTCCTGGACACTAGATTGTAGGAGTTCCTTGTTAGTTTCGGGGATTTAATTTAAGAATTTGACACACAGAACCATGCAGGATAGAAACGATCTTTCCAGTCATTTGCTCATTCTCACAAAATTGCATCTAGCATCTCAAAATTCAAAACTAATTACGCCATGTGGTCAACACACAGTAAAATATTCATTACTTTTTTACATGTTTTGTAAGACTTAGAAGTTAGTTGAATTGAATCTGGAAACTAAAATGTTTTTTATTTTTTTCTGTTTCTAGTATTTAAGTAAAAAGGAGCTTCTGGGAATGGTACAGCAGAACTACGGAACAGACTTGGGATTAAACAAAAATGAAATGGACAGCCTACAATTATCTAGTGATGAAGCCCATCTCATAGGGTAAGCAAATGAAATATTGTAAACAGATTGCTTAAATAATGAAGCTGATCTTCCTAACCTTACGTTTAGGCCATTGATTTGGTCAGAAGTTTAGACTTCTTTCTTGATCTTCAAGAAACCTCTGGCCGCAATTATACCATCCAGTTTGTGATGACTGCCAACGTTTTGATTTAGGCACATTTCTTAGCTCAGGCTCTGACAAAGGGATGAAAAGCAATAAGTTGGTTGCAAAATGTCCTTCATCTCCCTTCAGGGTCATGCTTTTATAAAGTGACTTTAGAAAAAAATTAAATGATTTCAGCTCCAAACCAGACATTGCAATTAGCACTGCGACTTCAGCACCCTGGGATATCTTTCTGACGTGAAGGGCACTATACAAGTGTAAGTTGTTGTTGTTTTGCAATTGCCACATTTTAATTTCAAGTATAATTATATCTCTCCCATTTCTAATGGGTAGGTACACAGAGAATTCAGTCCCATTAATGCCTTTATAAGATGCAGTTAAATTCCTATCTATCTATACTGTTTAAAATCCTCTTCCCATTTGCCAAGTTTTAGTTTAAATGAAACATGATTACATTGATCTTCATAAGGATAAGAATTTTATTGTGCTTAAAATATATAAAATGTACCAAATATTTGGTTTGTTGGGCTCTCTGCTACAGAGTGGACTTTATAGAGTTTTACATGAATTTAAATTGGATTTAAGATACCGTAAACTCACAACAATTCTTTCGGTTTACCAACCGAGCAGCAACAAAAACAAATTGCATTTATATAGCGCCTTTCACTTCGAGAGGACATCCCAAGGTGCTGGACAGTGAAGGGTTTGCACCCAAGCTGGGGGTCTGGATTTAAGAGGGATGGAGGGCAAAGGAGATGGAGGTGGAAAATGATCGAAGGCGTGGTCAAAGAGGAACGTCTTGAACACAGGTTCAGGGTTCTAAATAGCAAGTCAAGAGAGATACCAGGAAGTACTTCTGTATCCAGAGGGTAATTAATGACTGGAATATGCTTTGAATGAAGGATGGTAGGGTGGGTTTTCTGGAATCCAATCCAATGTTAATAATTTGTTTCATTGTCCATTTAGTCTCTGATAATTGGTCTTCCTTTCAAGCATAACTTTGACATTCTTCCCACATATAAGGCAACGCTACCTATTACTGGGTGAAAAAACAAACTATTGTTTTATTTAGGAGCTCAGGAAAAAACACCAATGATGAATATAATGATAAAAGAGACCACTCAAACAAATCCAGAATGTTTTACCCCGAAGCAGCGACTTATCATTCAAGTACGCCACTTCCAACAGGAGATGCTTCATTTGTAATTCCTTCAGTTGTAATCAACGATGATGAACCAGGAATGGTAAGAATATCCCTTTTGGATTTCTGAATTAAGAAGTATCAGCGTGTAACATCAGAATTGATACCAACATGTAGTGACACTCAGTAAAGTTACCCAGATCAGTATTCATTCATAGTTAAAAGATTGTGTGACAAGCATAATATTATTCAGATGACCAGTTTCTAGTTTAATGGGAGCTAGTTAAAGATGAAGGGTCTAATTTGATAAGGTCAGGTCACTCTAGCATGTGATGCATAACATGTTTAATTGATAAATAGCTCTATGCACACTAGTGCAAGAATTATTAGTTTTAATGGACAGTACATTTGAAGAAGTTTGATAATAATAATAATAATAATAATAATCCTTGCATTTGATATAGTGCTTTTCACGTCGGGAGAACGTCCCAAAGCGCTTCATAGAACACACTGTAAAGTGAATTGACTGTATATTTGTGGGCGAACGCGACAGCCAATTGCGCAATTTACTATTGTTTTGGGTTTTGGAGGGATTATTATTATTAGGCGTGTGGAGTAAGGAAACTTGCCCAAGGTTTGCCCTGCCTGGAATTGAACTCAGGTCTCTCGCTTGCAAAGCGAGTGCTCTAACCACTGAGCTACAGGACTTCTGATCAAGCATGATATGAGATGAGATATTACGAGCTAGTATACTTATGTGACTTTGTGTCAGTGGACACTTATGTCACAGAAGTATACAGTCCCTTGTGGGACAACTGAGATGATGGCAATATCTGTACATTTAGATGGGACTAAATTTTGTTTCCAAGAATTGAGACAATTTTACTTCATCAAATGATCTGCCATTTCCCCATTGATAACTTCTAATTGTGAGTTTGGACTATGCAGCATGAATTTATTAAATGTAGATGTACCACTCACTACCGGGTATCTTGTGGAATCCTGTAGCTCAGTAATTAGAGCACTCACCTCGCAAACAAGCGACCTATTCTATTCCTGGCAAGGCGAAATGTTGCCTCTGTTTACCTAGTAATAAATAGGAACTTGGTTGTTAGTCGATTGGCAGATCACTTTTCCGGGGATAATAATCCCCCTCCCAAAAAACAATAATAATTTGGTCACTCAGTTCATGATTGTGTGTGAGACACTGCTGTGCGCAATTGCCGCATTCGTCTACAAATACAGAGTCACTCCACTTCACAGTAAATCCTTCGAAGCGCTTTGAGATGCTATACCAAACGCAAATATTATTATGATTGTTTTATTCATCTCTTTAAGTAAGTTTCATTCGTAAATGAACTTTTTGTTTGTTAGAGATCATTAATTCTCTATTCAGCTCCCTAGAGTGGAAACCAGAGGTGAAATTTCACTGATACGTCGCTCTTTTACCACATCTGAAAAGGAAAACAGTAGAGGTGGCAGCAATTCTTCTTCATCTTGGCTAGACTTAAATGGTAATGAAGATCTTCCCACAGAGAGGAATGACCTATCTGATGCAGTTGATGAAGATACAGGTATTTAAAAACAAATTGTGGTTCTCAATCTTCTAAATTCCTCTCGTGTTCAGAAAATGTGAGCTTAATTGTAAAATGGTCTATAGAATAATAATAATATTAATCCCTCCAAAACAAAACAATAATAAATTGGTCATTCTCAATCCACGACTGTTTGTGGGACACTGCTGTGCACAATTGGCTGCTGCATTTCGCCCACAAATATATGGTCAATTCACTTTACAATATATTCTGTAAAGCGCTTTGAGACGTCTAGAAGACGTGAAAAGCGCTATATCAAATGCAAGGATTATTATTATAATACTGTCTCAGATATAGCCAATGTCCCGAAGCAATGCCTTAGGCAGATCTCTTTAAAACTTTGTGCTTGTGTTGACTTCTTCTCTTCTTGCCTGCTATGGGTATCAATCTGACATGGTCGATAGTACTGTCATCTCTTAAGTCAGAAGGTTGCAGGTTTAAGTCCCATGTCAAGACTTTGAACTTGTATAGTCTAGGCTGACACTCCAAATGTAGTGCTGGGGTGCCTCATTGTTGAAGATACAGTCCTTCAGATGAGACACTAAACTGGGGCCCTGTTTGCCTGTTCACGTGGATTGTGAAAGAAGAGAAAGGATTATGGTATCCCTCAAATAAAAAAATGTCTTCATGGCTAATTGTGGGACGTGGCTGTATGCAAATTTTCTGCTGAGTTCACCTACAAAATACAGTCACTATATATTACAGTATAACCTATGAAGTGCTTTGAGATAGCCTCCCAACATGAGAGGCACTATATCAAATGCAAGGAATATTATTATTTATTTTTCTATCATTTGATATCACATGGTCATTTCATATGGTCATTCTGATGAGCCATCACCTGGTACAATATGAGATACCAATGCTGGCAATAAACAATATACATCCATGGAAAGCCGCCATTGCTTTTGGCGGTAATCTGTACATGCCCCTTGCCTCTATTGTAGAGTATGCTTTAGCATTTGCTAGATTTATCCTAAGTGAGTAGTATTATCACAAGTGATGTGATGATACAAATTGATGTAATTTAATTCAGTGGTGTAAAGTTGCTGCATATTTGGCATGTTAGTGTTCTTTAAATTTCCCAAATAAACTTCAACAAACGCTCTATGAAACTTGTACTCAATTGTATCTTTTCTTTCATTTTTTCATAATGAAAATAAAATCAATTTGATTTTCTTTGCAGCTGAAGACGAATTTTACCATGACATGAAGGGTCGACTTTACGTTAACCGTGTCTTCAACATGAGCGCGGATAAAATATTTGAGCTTTTGTTCACAGACTCTGAGTTTCTGCAGAATTTCACTGAGGCGAGAAAAATTACAGGTAACCAGTTGAATGTGAAAATAAAATCGATAAATCATTCCCCTATTTTAAAATCTGTTTTCACAACTTTTTTGAATGTGGGCAAAGAAATTTGAAGTTCCATATGGTTTAAGCATGGGTGGTATGGAGGCGCTGAAGGCATGTATATCTATAAAATATTTAAAAGATGGTTCATCCATTAGGAGGTGTAGCATTTATTTGTATGTGGATCCTATTTCATTAATTATAAATCAAGAATTTATAAATTTGCAATGCCACCAAGGTCTGGGAGGTAGGATACTGGTCGAGCAAAGTGTTTTTACTTTCTAAGGGAAAACCACTGAAATGTACTTGAGATCAGCAGACTCACCTGAATTACTTTGAGAAGCATTAATATTGGTATAATTTGTTTTAGTTGTACATCTGACTACCTAATTAAACAAATGTCTGTGGAAACAACTACTAGAGCTCTCTTTGAAGCTCCCTTTCCATTCTCCATCTTATCTAGCTGAATCTAGCAAACTCCAACAGAAAGTCAGATGTCACTGCTAGTCCACAAATTTCACTTTAAAAATGTTCCCCATTGTGGAATGCGTGAAAGTAGTATTATAGCCGCTTTCCTTCAAGAAGAACAAGCTGTCCTGTCAATGGTCACATTTATAATTGGGAGTTTTAAGAAAATATGTAAAATTGCATAAACTCATAAATGATGATTGACTGATCACGTTTAAAGAGAATGCCATCTTATTCTGATTATTCTGTTTCTCTAGAGTTTGTCAGCAGTCCATGGGAGGAAGAACTCGATGGTAACCAGAAAAGGACGCTGAAATACAAAATAACCATAACAAATCCTCTGGCTGGAAAGTTTTCCACAGGAACTGAAACGCAGGTACTTACTTTAGATGTTGCACTTAGTAAAAGGAAGTACATAATATAAATGTATCAGCACGAATGGGACTCACCAGTTAAATTTTCTGTTCTTTATTGTGAGTGTCATAAGTATTATAAGTCCCTTACAAATGCTAAAATATAACAATAATCCTTGCATTTTATACAGCGCTTTTCACGTCTTCTAGGTGTCCCAAAGCGCTTCACAGAATATACTGTCAATTGAATTGACTCCATGACACCCACCGCCTGCTGCCTCGACCCCCTCCCCACCAACGTACTGGTCACCCAGCTCGCCCTCCTCTGCCCACTACTGGCTGACATCATCAACCAGTCCCTCTCCTCCGGATCAGTCCCTGCCTCCCTCAAAACTGCTGTCATCAGCCCCCTCCTGAAAAATCCCTCCCTAGTCCCTCAAACCCCAGCCACTACCGCCCTATTGCTAACCTACCTTTAACGTCTCAAAAGTTCTAGAATATGTTATTGCAAACCAACTTCGCGCACACCTCTCCTCCCACTCCCTCTTCGAACCCCTTCAGTCCGGTTTCCGCCCACAGTACAGAGACTCCACTTGTGAAAGTCACAGACGACATCCTCTCTATCTGTGACCAAGGCTCCCTCTGCCTCCTTGTCCTCCTGGACATCTCCGCCGCGTTCGACACAGTTGATCACGCCATCCTCCTCCACCGCCTTTCCTCCGTCATCTACCTCAGTGGGACCGCACTCGCCTGGTTCGAGTCCTACCTCACAAACTGCCGGCAGTACATCTGCACAAACGGCTTCTCCTCCCGCTCTCACCCAGTTACCTGTGGGGTACCCCCAAGGATCCATCCTTGGCCCCACTCCTCTTTCTGATCTACGTGCTCCCTCTTGGGGATCTCATCCACAGACATGGGGTAATAATAATAATAATCCTTGCACTTGATATAGCGCTTTTCACGTCTTCTAGACGTCCCAAAGCACTTCGCAGAATATACTGTAAAGTGAATTGACAGTATAGTTGTGGGCGAACGCGGCAGCCAATTGCGCACAGCAATGTCCCACAAACAGTCATAGATTGAAAATGACCAATTTATTATTGTTTTTTTTTTGGAGGGATTATTATTAGGCTCTGTGTGGAGTAAGGAAACTTGCCCAAGGTTTCGCCACTTCCACATGTATGCAGATGAAACCCAACTCTATTTTTCCACCTCTCTTTGCGACCCCCAGTCCCCTGATGTTCTGTCAGCCTGCCTGTCAGAGCGCAAACTTCCTTCAGCTGAACGTTGACAAGATGGAAGCCATACTCTTTGGCTCTCGTCAACGTCTAAAATCTCATGGCTCTCACCTCCTCCACCTACCGACCTCCTACTAAAACTCTCCGAACCCGTATGCAACCTGGGCATCAGGTTCGACCCCTAATTATCCTTCCTCCCCCACATCCGGTCCCTCACCAGCACGGCTTTCAACAACAACAACAAGATTGCATTTAATGAGTGCCTTTCATGTTGGGAGGACGTCCCAAGGCGCTTTCTTCCACCTCCGATGCATCGCCCATCTCCGCCAATACTTCTCCCCAAAAGCCGCTGAAACCCTGGTCCATGCTTTTGTCACCTCTCGGCTGGACTACTCTAACGCCCTCTTCGCCGGTCTCCCATCCACCACCATCCATAAAATCCAAATCATTAAAAACTCTGCCGCCCGCATTCTCACCCGCACGAAGCTCCGCTCCCCGATCACCCCAGTCCTTGCCAGACTGCACTGGCTGCCTATCCCAGAGAGGATTGATTTCAAGATCCTCACCCTTGTATTCAAGTCCCTGCACTCCTCTGCAAACCCCCCTACCTCTCTGACCTCTCTCCTCAAAACAGTACCCGTTGCCTTCGTTCCTCCGTGTCTGGCCTCCTCCTCGTCCCCCGAGTCCTCTGCTCCACCCTCGGCGGCCGTGCCTTCAGCCACTATGCCCCAAGGCTCTGGAACTGCCTTCCTCACTCCCTTCGCCTCGCTCCATCCTTTCCTATTTTCAGGTCTCTGCTGAAGACCTTTCTTTTCGACAGCGCATTTGGTCACCTTCCTCCCCCTCCCCCTGGCTCGGTCCCGGGATCCGTTACTGTAAAGCGCTCTGAGATGTCGTCTGGCGTGGAGGGCACTATATAAATCCAAGTTGTTGTTGACTGTATATTTGTGGGCAAAACACGGCAGCCAGTTGCGCACAGCAGTATTCCACAAACAGTCGTGAATTGAGTGACCAAATTATAATTTTTTTTGAGGACCAAGATGCTGTAACTCTAAGGTGTAATAATGAAAATACTTCTTAGCATTCTACAGTAATTACAAAGGAGAATATTGCAGCAAGTAGGAAGGGAGAATTTTTCAAACTGATATTGAACTGGAATAATTTTTGGGGGGAAATCAATAATTTCTCTCTCCCTCCTAACCACTGCAATTATGTTTAGAGCAACCTACTACTGCTGCTACTGGGACTGAGGGGACAAAGGGAAAATTAATCTTTTCAAGGTGGAAGATTAGTCGCAATAAAAGCAGCACCATGATCTACAAGGTTGACAGTAGGATGCAAGCCTGATGATGTGTTGTTCTGCCTGCCCAGAAGTTCTGAGGAACTACTATGAAGGGAATAAATATGATGAAATTGTAATACAATACAGGAAGTTCTGCTGTTTGGAACACATTGCTAAACTACAGCTTTGACCCTGTTTTTCATTGCCTTCCCGCAACCTCAACATTTACTCTGAACCCCTATAGGTTGTTATAAGTTGCATATTTTTTTCCCAAAGATTACTTGCAGATCTTGCTGAACCTGATTTGTGCTTTGGGTTGGTGATTTAGGAAGTAACACATTTCTTGCATCATTTCCGTGCCCACAATTAGCCAAAATACTGATGGAAAATAATTTTGCAATCATACACTCAGCACTGAATAAAATATAACTTTTGTGTGTTTGCGACAAAGCAAATAATGTTCGGTGTTTTTTTTGTTCAATAAGCAATCATCATTCTGGTTTGGTATGTGAATTTCAAGGAGGTTGTTGCAAGCTCATTTTACTGTACTGTTAAAATAAGCAATTTTAAAATGGATATATCCTCTAAATGTGAAATATATAGATGTCTCAATACAAGTACAATTTAGTTTTGTTTAAAAATGCAAAATACTTTCTCTTCATTTAAATAATTTTTAAAAATGTAACCTTTAGTATTCTAAAATAATACATCATAGAATTACTTATGAGGATCAAGGTTTTATTTCCTGTCTCTTCAACAATAACAGATTATTACTGCTTTTTGTTAATGAAGAGGATTAATTTGCTGCCAGCAATGAAAGTAAAACACCATGTATCTGAGAACTGAATGAGTCATCTAGGCGTTAATGTTCGTTATTGTCAAAAAGGATAGTGCTCCCAATTATTGGAAAATGTATTTTTAATTTCACTCCTCCCAAATTGCCCAATTGATCAAGTCCTAAAAGACTCCAATTCCAAGTTTGAGGAATATTATGCTGAAGTAAAGTTAAAGTTGTGTAAAAAGTAAGCAATGTTCATAATCATTGACAAAGTTATCAATTGATGCAAACAAACTTTTTATTGAGCCATTTTTGTGCTGTTGCAGATTTTGTATAAAAAGAGCCAGAAGGAGCATTACTATCTGATTGACTCAGAAATAATCACTCACGATGTACCTTACCACGACTACTTCTATACACTTAACAGATTCTGCATCATTCAGACATCCAAACGAAAATGCAGGCTAAGGTAGGGTTTAATTTATTAGCGTATAGAGTGTATTTTCTAAGCTATAGTACTTATCTTGGATCTACCAAAAAATAGTCTGTTCTGAATTATTATTTGTTTCATAGCCCAATTATAGTTTGTCCTGTCAGTCATGAGCATTGTCAGTGAAGTTCACCTTGAACTTTGAATTGTGTAGGACAAGAAATCCATTGCCATTTTCTTTAAAATCCAAACTTTTTCTAAAGTTAAACCGTTGGATGGAGGACTCTGGTTCTAAAGATGGTATACTTAATAGAATTGGCTATGTGAATTTTGCAAGTCTTTCTCTTTTGGTCTGGAGCATGGAGAATTGAATGCCCAGTACCGTTGTTAGCTGGACAGTACTGTAGCTACAGATGCCAAACTTGCAGTCGAATAACTTTGTAAATTTGTTTATTTTAAACTATTTTCACATAATTGATTTTGTCATTGCAGAGTTTCCAGTGATATTTGTTACAGAAAACAACCATGGGGTTTAGTGAAGATATTCATAGAAAAACATTCATGGAGCGGGCTAGAGGAATACTTCAAACACTTAGGTTTCTGTTGAATTTTATTACTTGGCATGCAAAAAGTAATCATATACATTAAGCATATATAGCTATTTTATGGAAGTTAGTGGAATCTAACATTCACTTTGTCAGTTTACTGATATCTAAAGTGCGAACCATGAATCGTGGTTTCCTCATTCTTGGCATCCTGTTCATACTGTAGGACTTTGTCTGGGCATCCAGTTGAATGCAACAATAACTTGCATTTATATTGCACCCTCACACAGGGTAGTGTCCCAGAATGGATGTGGGAAACAACTCCATGAAGAATGGTATCTGTTTTGAGACATTTATACAGCTACAAATATACAGTTATAGTAAATCTTGTGAAACTCTTTGAGATGTTTTGACGATGTGATAAGTTGCTATAATCAAATGCAAGGATTTTTTTATCGGTTCCATTATTCTTTTCCTTTCATGCATTATAAGAAGGCACATCAAGGGCGAAAAGCCTTCAGTTTATTTGTTGGTTTTGCCCTTCATGGATAAACTACTTCCAAAACTTTTTCTGCTCCAACCTTTGATCAAGGAAATTTTAAGAAGAAGTTGAAAAGGGTAACATGTTTCTGATGACTGATGTTTGAAATTAATGCTAAAGAGTTTCTTGTAGCTTCCAGATGATGGTCAAAGTCAGTTTTTTGGTCAGCTGATTGCCTGACACATTTGCAACCCATATGTAAGCATATGTGGAAATTTTCCTGTGTCTTTAATGGAAGGTACACTCTCTCCCAAGAAGGATGCTGCTTATCTAATTCCAGAGTGTATTAGATGCAGGTTGTGAAGAGCCAAGACTTGCCGACCCCCAGAGAACAGATAAAACCACATAGTTTACCATTGAGAGCACAGTCTGGCAAACTTCCTGCTGCTTGACCAGCTGTTTCATTTTTACAGAATCAAGTCTGTTGGTTGAAGAAATTCTACAGAACAAAATATCGTCAGAATTGGGTCAGGTTGGAATGGTGCGGAGGCGGAGGAGAGCATACAGCCGGAGTCAAGACCAGCTGGTCAAGCAGTTGTCTTCCAGGAATCTGAATGTAGATTCACGAGATGTTTATGCAGGTGAAATATTAGTTATGTTTAATGTACGATTGAAAGCATCTGGTTTCCATCAATATTTTTCAAAGATATGGTATTTTAATTAAATGGAATCTGTATTATAGCAAATGTGAAACCCACTGAAGAATTAGTTCTCATAGCTGTGAAATTGGCAAAAAAATCTATTTCATTACTATTACCACAACTGCTGTGAAAGGTTACGATTGCCCTATGCTTTAATTCTGCCTTACACTTGAACTTTGTTGTTCACAAGCCCTTGGTTTTGTATGATGTTAAATTACCACATATTTATTATCTTGGTAATTGATCTATCATACAATAACATTTACATATATATAGCATCTTTCATGTCAGGAGGATTTCCCAAATGTATTCACATTGCTGGATGGGCACTCAAACTGGGGGTGAGAGCCGAAGGGGATAAGGAGGGGAAAGATTTACAAAGAGTGTACAGCATGGAAACTGATAGCTGTAATCTGCCAACCCTGTTAATATCTGAGTAAATGCTGTACTCTTTCCATCGCTTCTCTATCATTATAATATGGAGACCAGAATTGGACACAATATTCTAAATAAGGTCTATTCAAGGTTTTGTACAGATACACAGTACTCCAAATGTGGAGTAATCAACGGTTTGTACAAATGATTGAAATGATAATTGAATATCTGGTCAAAGAGGTTGGTTTTGAGGCATTACCTGATAGGCGAGATAGCCAGCAAATCAGATGGACTCTAGGATGGACTTCCTGAGAGCAAGAGCAGAATGGCCAATGCTGGGACATTTTGGGTAGAAGAAATGAAGGAGGCTCGCTGAGCGAACGGAACGGTCGGGTTGGTAATGTTGCAGAGGTAAGCACGAGGCCAGACATTGGAGGGATTTAAATGTGAGAAAGAGTATCTATCCACTGGAGGATGGGGCTAAGATGAGTTGGAGGTGATAAGCTCATGAAGCATTAAATTTGCCACTAAATTTTGCATTTTTGTTGCAGGAAAATTAAATGATGTGGAAGATAAATCAATAATCTGGACCTGGAACCTTTCAAAATTTGTGCTGATCATGAGTATTATGTGAGTATATTTGAAAGGCTATTAAACTTTTTTCCGGGAACATCATAAGAGAAAATGAGTTGTGGTTTCAGAAAACGGTTTTCATTTCACAAGGTTTATGAAAACACTTGTGGATCAGGTTGTTCTGTTCAAAAAATCACAGGAGCAGCCCCAGGCAGCAGCCCTTTTAGGACATCTTTCGATAATCTAGATGCCAAATAATGGGAGCTAGATGTTAGAATGTATTCTTATATTTAAAAAAAATCCCATTTCCACTTAAAGTGTGAATATTTACATAATTGAGAGGACTCTGTTAATTTAATTCTAAGATAGACATAGAAGTACAGGATATCATATTTGTTATTTCAATTGTTTTATGAACGAATACAATATATTTTTGTATTGGAATTCTTTGGTTGTTATAAAGCTAATTATATCCTCTCTCATTTACAGTCTAGTTATTCTAGCTCTGTTGAATATAAGCCTCTTTTTTAAACTGTTGGTCATAGAAGATGTAGCTCAAAAAGCATACTTCTCAAACAGGACGAAAACTGAAAAACATAAAATAGGGTAAGTGGCTTTCAGAACTCTGGGTCAGAAACAGCAGGAATGATGCCTAATGTGCTTGTTGATTCATTCATAAGGTTCCTGGTGATCACGTGGAGCCGACGTTTAAACTAATGTTTTAAACACCCATAAAAACACTTTGATGTGCCTATCCCACATCCAGTCCCTGACCAGGACTGTCTTCCTCTGCCTTTGCATTTACTTATTTAATTCACTCCAGAAATTCTCATTTATGCTTTTGTCATGCTTTGGTAATGTATTACAAATGCTATTCTGAGGTCAGGGAATAGATGGCCGAAACCACAGTCAGAGAGGAAGGTCTTTGAAGGAGGTGAGGAACGGGTGAGGCGAAGGGATTCCAGAATGAGGTTTCAGAGGGTGGGGACAGAGGCCGAAGGCCCGACTGCCGATCCTCGCTATTAAACAGACTGTCGAGGAGTATTCATGTAATCACACTACATTATGGGGTAGAAATTCCACTTGTGCCTTGATTTGCTCTATTTAAGCATCATTTCATAGCAAAGAACTTACTGAATACTTCAAATTTAAAATTAAGCCTGTAAACTAATTTGCATGATATTCAGCAAAAGTCTAAATTAATGGCGCTCAACAGTATTGAGGGTGTGCTGCATTGTCGAAGGTACCGTCCTTCACATGAGACGATAAACCGAGGTTCCTGTTCAAGTGGACATTAAAGATCCCGTGGCACTATTCAAAAAGAGAATTGATTTCTTATGGTGTCCTGGCCAACAATCCCCCAAATAAAATCAGTCACTCACTTCATGGCTGTTTGTGGGACATTGCTGTGTGCAATTGTGCTGCCGTGTTTGCTCACAAGCACACAATCGCTCCAATTCATAGTAAATACTGTGAAGAGCTTTGAGATGTACTTTTGATGTGATACGGCACTATACCAAATGCAAGGATTATTATAATTATTTGCATCAGATTGAGGGTCCTTGTGTGTTTTGGTTTATGTCCATCACCTTTGGTGCAATGGTTTGAAACAGATCAAATAAACTCCTTTAATAAGTTTGTGTCATTGACAGTGTCGTTGTTTCCAGGTTAGAAGTTCTGAAAGCGTGTTTGGGATTTCACTGATAAGATCAAATTCTTCTTTTTAACCAGTTTGGACCCAGAGATAATGTCTCCCAAGGAAATAACAAAGCACAAGAATAAAGCAGATCTTCAAAGACTACAGGGAGTAATTAAGGATTCCATTTTACTTCTAGACCAGGTAGGGCAAACCAGCCCATAAGTTGCTACTTCCTTTTACCAAAGCTTTAATCATAATCGCTTTAAAATGCTCCTGATTATTTTTCTGACTTTTGTCATTTTTATTTAGAATGCCTACAAACCAAAAGCAATACGTTAAAGCATACTCAGTGAAGAAAATGATAAAGTGGCACATGTACATTCGTGCAGGAAAAGATATTGTATATCTGGATTTCACAATTGCAACCTATGCCTTCAAGTGCAGGCTCTAATTTTTGCAGCAGTAAGAATTCTTAATCTGATGATGCATAAGAATCTAGGTTATTGCATGTCATTTCAGCTTCAAAGGTTATATTTAGTACTCAGCTATTTACTTCAAGTATAAACCATACCCCAGTAATGTGCTAACTGCACTTTATTCACCAAATGCAGAAAAACTGCAGAGTATTGGATGTATTCAAAACATCAAGCAAAAATAGTACATGGATGCTGCATCATTTAACTCCTCAAAAAGAACTGAATAACTATGTCCTTGATTATTGTTGGTGAGTGTAGGGGAATGTACAAATTGAAATGAATAAATGGTTTGTATTATACATTTGCCCCCATGTTGAGAAAGATGCTTTATAGAGGTCCGTAATGTGGTTTTGTTTTTGCCACATGTGATAGAACCTCCTAACTAAGAAAAAGTGGTCAGCTTCTAGTGGAACTCAACACTGTATCTCAAATTTCCATATTACAACTGTTTTATTGTACTTATAATTTTATAATTTTGATTTTTAGAGTAAGTCTGGGAAAGAGAGAGTAAATTAAGTGACTATCCTACTTCTGTGGTTGTGAAACTACAAGTGTTATAAATTCTGAGTTTAGAAAGTAAGACATATGGCCTAAGTGTATTAGTCAATCGAGTGACAGTATATCCAATCAGAAGTTTCATCTATTGATGATTTGTCTTTGTCTTTCTCATTTACAGTTGAAAGGTTCACTCTCAAATATTCAGAAAAGTTTTGACCTACAAAACCAGACCATCAAAATCCCCACCTGATAGCAATTTATAAAATTGCTGGAGGACAAAGTGTGAAAACGGCCAAAAGTGAAAATGTTAGAAAGAAATGGGAGACAAATGTAAACTAAGTGAAGTATAAGTTAATTTCATTATTTTGCTCTACACTGCACCAAAAGTAAATTTAGCCCATTGACAATAATATCTTTCAATTTTAATCAAATCCATTGCTCTATTTGTAAATTTGGGGGCTTAAACTGTTATCTGATTGACTTTCCAAATGAGAAAATGTGGCAGCATAACTTAAACATGCAAACTAAAAAATCTTATAATATTAATTAATATGAGTTTTTTTCATAAACTGTTTTGATTTCTTACCACTTGCGAGTTCCACGATTTCTTATAGTTTGTACAGTATTTAGACCTCTGTTGCCAATGTGATCTCAGTGCCAGTTCATTGAAACAATTTACTTCGCATAAAAATTGACTTGTCATTTAAAGAGTAAACTTATTTCCTCTTTGTACAAAGCTGGATTTCATGACATCAAAACTTGCATTGATCTGGCCAAGAATGTTATTGAAATATATAGGGATAAATTGGAACTTTAAAAAACATTTTGCTTAAAATTTATGACTTTTTTTCCCCACATATGTGGCTAATTCTATGCGTTTTAACATTAACTTCCAAATTTATTTTGTAAATAATACAAGTTTATGGATTGATATGAATATAGCCCCAGCATTCTGACCTTGTTTACATTTTATAATATACAATGATTCTATTGTTTTTTAAATTTATTTTGATGATTTATATTTGCAAACTGAATTCTTATCCGTTGGGCGCTTAATTTTACCAACAAGTGAACATTTTCCCCTGAATGTTTTCTGAGGTCAAGGAAGTAACGTTAGTCACAGTTGAGGGATACAACAATAAATCAGACTCCAAAGTGGCTATTGATTGCGTAGCTGACATCAGTTTTGTAAACTAAGAAGCCAAACAGTTACAGCAGTTTTATTGTATAAGGGACCTTTTTGCTTTGTTTTGTTTTTGAAATGGTACACCTAATTTTTCTGTTTTTTAAAAAAAAATTGATTCTTTGACCGTATTTTCGATCATCTCTTCGACGTTACTTTACGATGTTTTTTGGTTATCCACTGACATCCCTCATCAATCTGTTTTATCTACTGATCTCTGGTCAAAGTCAAGAGTAAAAACTGTTTTTTACAGCTCTGATAATCACATTTGTTGCTTAATCTAATGGGTATAAACAATTGTAGATGATTCATTAGTGCCTGAAATAAGATCCATACCTTTATGTAAATATGCTTATAAATGAACTAAATATAATAATACGCAGTTAGTTTTGAACTTATCATTTAGTTGAGTTTCTCCAAGATCAGTTCTCAGTGAATCAGAAGTGTCTGGCCCAATTAAACTCCAGTAAAATATGTCAGAGTAGAAGCCTGGTAATGGAGAGAGCAGCATCCACACAGTGCATAAAAGAACAAGATGTAAAAACAAATATTTTAAAATTGCACCCTTTTCTCCCCACCCCACCACCACCCTTTGTCTGTAGACTTTGGCTAAACTTTAAACAAAAATTTGAACTGATCACCTTTGCAAGTTGGGATTTTCCACGTGAGCTGTGGTTTACACTTTTAAAATAAAACTTAAAATGTTTTCCTTGAACTAGTAAGCTTATGGAAGGACTATGAATATGCATGCGGTTTAGATGTGAAAACTGAATATATATTTAAAATATAAAACTGAATATCTTGCTTTGAAGTGCAATATGTATATTAATGAGATCATCTAGTGGAAACAATTTCTGAATAAAATTGTTACTAAATATAAAGTCCTAAATACTGGTTTCCTTGTGATTGGCAGCACTAATGACACAGTTGACTATTCTCGTACTGTAGTCTTGGGTTTATCATATGGTTTGTTTATCATCATATCACACTAATCTATGAAATCGATCACTGGCTCCCTCGACCCCATTCTTTTCTCTCCCTTTATCTCCCAGCTCCACCTCATTGCCCCTCTACTCACAGACATCATAAACTTCTGTGTCCACTTGCACTTCCACTTCCCACCCCATTTACAAACAGCTGTCATCACTCCTAACCTTAAAAAAACCTCCCTGGACCCATTCCTGCTCTCAAACTACTGCCCCATCTCCAATCTCCCTTTCCTTTCCAAGGTCCTGGAACAATTTGTTGTTTCGCTCTCCTGTCACCCCTCCAATTGGGTTTCTGTGCCACCCACAGCACAGAAACAGCTTTGGTCAAAGTCGCAAATGATATTTTGTCCATCCGCGACCAGGGTTGCCTCTGCCTCCTCGTCCTCCTTCACCTTTCTGCTGCCTCCGATACCGTTGGCCCCTCAATCCTCCTCCACTTCCTCCTTTCACCTCAACCTATGTGTCTCTGTCCTTGAATGGTTCAGATCCTACTTCTCATACTGTCTTCATCTCCACAAACAACTTCTCCTCTAGCCAGTGCAACATTTCTCAGGGCTCTGTCCTGATCCCTTCCTCTTCAATATCTATATGCTCCCTCTTGGTGACATCATCTGCAGACATGGGGTCAACTTCCACATGTATACAGATGACACCAACTATCTCTCTGCCTCCACCTCAACTCTAGGACCACTGCTGTCCTGACAGATTGTCGGACATCAGGTCCTGGATGAGACTGAACTTTCCACAGTTGAATGTCAAGACCGAGGCCCTCCTGTCCTGATCACCATGGTGACAGCATCACCATCCAAGGATGCACACTCCACCTCACTGAGCCAGTCCGAACCTTGGCATCCTGTTTGACCCTCAACTGTCCTTTCTACCCCATAACCTTGCCATGACCCGCTCTATCTTCCCCCACCTCTGCAACATCTCCCGGCTCCGCCACCGCCTCACCCTTCAGGCCGCCAAAACCCTCATCCATGCTTTCATCACATCGAGGTTCGATTATGCCAATCTGCTGCTTGTTGGCCTCTCCAACTCTTCCTTCCACAAGCTGCAGATCATCCAGAACTCGGCAGCTCATGGACTCTCCTGCACCAGGCTCCATGACTGCGACCCCATCATTCCCACCCTCGCCTGGCGCCACTGGTTCCCATATCAACTTGTCTGCTACCTCTGCTCAGCAGGCCCCGCTCGGCCCACCCTGCCATCCGTGATTGGGCCTTCAGCCTTTCTGCCCCCACCCTATGGAAATACATCCCACATTCCCTTCGCCTCGCTCCCTCACTTGCCTCCTTCAAGGCGTGTCTCAAAACCCTCCTCTTCGACCGAGCCTTTGGCTACCCTCCCTGCCCTAAGCCCTCACCAATCGAAGCCCAGCTTGGGTCCAAATCCCAAATCCCTGACTGTCCAGCGCCATCTGTTTCCCCTGATGTGAAAGGCGCTATACAAATGTAGTTTTGTATTGTAATCTGCTGCTAAGACCCACATGTTTTCAGCACATTCAGGCTTGACTATTCCAACTTCCTGCTCCCTGAACTCCTCAGCTCTTCCATACACAAACTGAAGGCAATCCAGAACTTTGAAGTTTCCTCCCACATTTCATCCTTGTCCAACTCCACTGGCTCCCCATTCCTCCTGGGGATAAAATTCAACATCCTTGTTCTCACTTTCCTCCACAGCCTCAGCCACCCTACCTTTATGACCCTCAACAACCGTACCAATCTGGCCACTCTCTTTGCTCAGCGAACACTGGCCTGCTTCAAGTCTCCCGTCCTATGTATCCTACCATTGGCAGGAGAGCTTTCTGCCTCCACTCTCTGGAAATCCATCCCAGAGAACCTCTGACTCACTCCTCCATCCTCACTTAAAAATCTCACCTAAAAACTTTAGTTTCTTTCTAGGCAACAATTCGCCAAATAAAATTGGTTAGATTTTAGGCAGCCCTGCTTTCAGCCACTACGGCCTGAAACTTTGAATCCCTCTGCCTTGCCCCTTCCACATTTTCAGATCATGCCTAAAGACCCTCCTCTTCGACCGTGCTTACGGTCACCTCCCTCCACCTGGCTCAGCCTCATGCTCCACCACTGTTAAGCGCTCTGAGATGTTATCCCCTTGTGAAGGGTGCTATATAAATGCATGTTGTTGTTGGCTGCCAGCAGAACATTGCTGTGTGCAAATTGACTGCTATGTTTGCTAAAAATACAGTCACTACAGTAAATCCTGTAGTGTATGAAATTTTAGAGCTTTTACAGCAAAATTCCCTTTATTCCCTTTAAAAAACACATTTGCATGTTACAGAAAAAACTTATAATGTTACATACATTACCAATATCAAAAAATCAGTAATACAATTTTACAGAACATTCATTGTCATCAAAATCAATTGTATACTTGTGATTTTTAACATAAGACCAGTGCACGATCATAATTTTTAAATGTATGCAGTTTACATTTAGGTCATATATCCATCTTATCCAATCCTTGTCAATGTTATTTATTTCCGCATTCAGCTCTAACCTTCATTCACAATTATTAAATCATAATTTTATATCTTTGCATTTTGTAAATAAAATCTAGCAATTGACTACAGTGTCAGAATGTGGGAGGATGAAATTACTACTAAATTTATTAAGCTTAACAATTTGGGCTTACAATGGGGAAAATCTAATTTAAAAATGCAAATCATCAGTCACATTATTTTATTCTATGTTTAGATCTGTATTGCAAAGTTCCAGTTTTTTGTGTACTTCCGTTAAAAAAGAATCCTTAAGTTTAATAAGCTAGTTTACATAATTTGCATAAAGGCATCTTCTTTCGTCATTGACTAAATAAGTCTTCAGAAAGTCTGTTGCTGAACACTATTGGCTTATAATAGACCACATCATAGTGAACAACAGAAGAGTGAATCCTGGTATGATTTTCACACAACTGGAGCAGGTTTCATCTGTTGAATAAAACAGAAATTATCGGTTGGATACACATGGTTTGTAACACGTGGATTAAATATAAAGTAGTCCTGCTGCCCAAAATATCAGGGTGTGAAATAACTGAATCCAATACAATACTATACGTAACCAATTTATAAGTCAACATTGTCAAGAGGCAACAGAAACATTAACAAAACACAAAAGGCTAATTCACCAAAAAGCAAAAAACTATTATTTTAGTAATGAGATGCTGCATTTATGAAGTGACCTAATTTCAAAGGTTGGAATATCTGCGTTCTAATTTGAAATTATGGTTACTCTTATCATTTTTGCCAGTTAAACTTACTGTAACAATATTTAGGTGTCAAGGACCCCATCGGGTCTTTGATCTTGCATTCTAGGCTGACACTACATTGCAGTGCTAGGAGGTGTGCTGCATTGTTGGAGGTTCCATCCTTCAGAACAGACATTAAACCGAGGTCCTGTCTGCCTGTTTAGGTGGACATTAATGATTTGATGTTTCTACTTGAAAAGAGAAGGTCGTTTCTCCCAGTGTTCTGGCCAGCAATCCTCTGGATAAGATTTGTCATTCACTTCACGGCTGTTTGTGGCACAAATCTGCAGCCGTACAGTTACTACACTTTACAGTAAATCCTGTGAAATGCTTTAAGATGTTTTCCTGATATGAAAGGAGCTATATCAAATGAAAGGATTATTATTATTATCCTGGACTCTTGGCAAGGCACTGAAGCGTACTGAGCCATTGCCAAATCTAATTGTGGGCCCCACTTCTAGCTTCACATACTAGTTGCATCAGGGATTGACCATGGCCCCTAGTTGCTATATCATTGGAAAATATATTTGATTAAGTAGGATACGGGAGGGGAGTAAAGTAAAATAGTAACAATAGATACTGGCCCATATCATGTTTGAAATGATTAAACTTAAAATAGTAACTTGTTAGGAATTATTCTGATGTTTGTTTGAGCAGCTTTATTATTGTACAACTTTTCAATGTACGGTATATGAGCAATAAATGTACAGAACTAATCAGATCAAGTTAGATTGTGCGTTTTTATCCGTGCTACTTTGAGGTCTGTTCTACACAAATGAAGAGAGGACTTTTAATCTGAGACTACTGCAAATGTTATCAAGCTCATCACAATTCAAAGAATTTGTGTTTCACTTTCCTCACAGCATATGAACAAAATACATTTTCAAATTTACAATGAGAAGCAAAGGTTTCTGCCAGTAAGTTACTTACCATATAATTGCGGAGATCTGACATTTAACCAATATGTAGCTTTGTTTTTTGCAACTGTGGCTCTGTAAGGAAGAGTACAAATATCAATGTTCCAATGTAGAGTTGGTTAAACTATGCTGTACTGTTAATACTTCGTAGATTTATATTTATTCTGATATTTATAATGTGTGCTTTCCAATATTTGTAATATGTGCTTTTCTTTGTTGTTGTTCATTGTAATATGATTACTGCAGAATGCGAGATAATACCTAATGGTAACAGCTACTATTAGATAAAGAAAATGAACTTTCCAGCTCAAATCAACAAAGAAATAAGATTACCACCAACAGGACTGAATTTTCAGTTTGAAAATGCTTCCATTAAACTGTACTAAACACCACTCAGAATCTCTAGAATGGCTTGGCTTTGTTGCACGTAAACTTTAGAGGAGCAACATTAGCCCAGATTTCTAGGGTCTCTATCCAGTACCACCTGCTGAAAATGTCCCCTTTGTATTGTATGTTTTGGGAGGGATGGGCTGGGTGGGTTAAGCACGTATCCTGAAGCACATGACTAAGTGATGTAAGAAAAGAGAGCTATTTGTATGAGGTAGCCACCAATACAGCCATGCAATTCTGTTTGATCATGACACCACGTGTGGGAGAAATTTGGAGGGTGGGGAATTCTCTCACCTGTGAGGTCTACACGGCAGCAATTTTCACTGCATTCTGCATATCTCAGAACCACTGCCCTCACACCAAAAGAATTAAATGTGTTCAGCAGCTACTGATGCTTGGGAAGTAATTTTTCATGTAAGACAATTAACATAACCCTGCTTACGTTAATTATTCCTGATTTTCCAACTGAATAATAATAATAATAATAATAATAATAATCCTTGCATTTGATATAGCGCTTTTCACGTCGGAAGGACGTCCCAAAGCGCTTCACAGAACACACTGTAAAGTGAATTGACTGTAAATTTGTGGGCGAACGCGGCAGCCAATTGCGCACAGCAATGTCCCACAAACAGTCGTAGATTGAAAATGCCAATTTTATTATTGTTTTTGGTTTTGGAGGGATTATTATTAGGCTCTGTGTGGAGTAAGGAAACTTGCCCAAGGTTTCGCCCTGACCTGCCTGGAAATGAACTCAGGTCTCTCGCTTGCAAAGCGAGTGCTCTAACCACTGAGCTACAGGACTGTAGTGTGAGCTCTGTGTCTGTACGTGACTGTAGTGTGAATTCTGTGTCTATATGTGACTGTAGTGTGAGTTCTGTGTATCTGTATGTGACTGTAGTGTGTGAGCGGGTAGGATGGCTGACTGTGTCCCTCGAGACTCCACGACTGCTGGGATTCAGGAGTTGTAACTGTGCCTCAACTCGAGGAGAAGCAGAGATTAAGGGAAATGGGACAGACAAAGATTAAGTGCCTATCATACCTATATATTGACATACCTGTAGCAGTAACTGTAAAATAAATCACGCTGAGACTGAAGGAAGCTTATTGTAAACCGGTAGTCACTGTCAAGACGGTATTATCTATAGTTGAACAGACATTCTCTGCAATATGCAAACTATATTTTGTCTCACAGTTAGCTGGTGTCCTGCTTATTCCAATTCAAACAAAAAAAGCAACCGAGAGCAATACTTACACAAACTGAATCTTGATACATTTGTTTGATGATGGTGGGATCCAGGTGTAAACAGTTTCATTCGTTTTCAGGTAAGTGTTTGAGTGAGTAATTGAACTGTTCATTACGTTGAAGCACTGAAGTAATGCAATTAAACATAATCAATCAATAGTTGGTGTCAGGACTCCAGTTTCTGCACAACTTCTATAGTACAAATAATATTTCAACCAGGAAGGATAATGAATAAAATTTATCAAAATATTCCTCAAGAGTAGTGTAAGTATGTATATATAAGAAAGTCACGGACATGATCTACTTTTACTAATTTGTTGATTTTTTTAAAGTTATATGTAAGAATCCTAAACACCACTGGAGCTAATTTCCGGTTCTAGTTCTAAATTTTTCATTTCTTTATTGACCAAGTGCTCATTCTAATTACCTTTTAAATGACATAGATGACTCAACTGTAAAAAAAAATTGATGGGGTAATGTGTTCCACATCTTAATAATATGTTTCTCCCCCTTTATACCTAAACTATGTGCTCAAAATTCCTACAGGGGCCTGCTGAACCCACAACTTTCTGAAATAGAGGTTACAAACTGAGCTAGACTGATACTTAGCTTTAATGATTTAAGTAACCAAGAAAACAGTTTAAGATAACAAAGCAAGAACTTTGCATACAAGTTCTTGGGAGTTCATTTCACATTTTAAGAAGAAATTAATCCATTTAATTTTTGAATTAAAAATGTTCGATAACACATACGATAATAACTACAATATAATTTTTTTGGGTCAACCAGGGTCTGACACATGTGGAAACCCATCACCATGCTTAAGAGAATCCAAACCAAGCTGAGATTTGTGAATCCCACCTACACATGGAAATCCCAGAGATAGACAGTTGGAATGGAATGCGCACTCTTTCCCTGGAGGGACGCATCCTGTTTACCTAATTCCGGAAAGTATTAGGCACAGATTGGAAAGAGCCAAGACTTGGAGATCCCAGAGTGTGCGTTGGGGTAACTACTGGCGTCTAACCAGCTAAAACTGCATAGCTTGCCATTGACATTGCTGTCTGGCAAGCTTTCCATCTGCTTGTCCAGCTAGGACCACCCTACTCGATATAATACAATCTACCTAAATGCCTGTTGAATTATTGTTTCCCTGATATTTTAAATATCTGAAACTGCAGTAAAATTTGAAAGAGTTAAAATGAATTGAAGCTTAATTGAATTATTAGTTAAAAAAAGAATGTTACTATCAAAACTCAATTGCACCTTTATTGGTTTTGTATTGTTCGGAGGAGCCTCCCATGTACCAACTGCAGTACTTTTTGACATCTCTCTTGCCTGTAGCAGTAGTCCCTGGTAAGGTTCACCAGTTATTGTAACTGTAAAAGATAAGAGTGATATAATTCATTTTTTCTTTTACAATTCAAAAATTGTCAATACATTCAGTAATCACTTCCGACTGTGGTCAGTACCAATGCTTGTGAGAAGCTAGTGTATTGTTTCATAAGGAAGACGGCAGAGAAATTTTGTATTTGCAGAGAAAATATATTGGATTACAGTGAACAAACAAGAGGTGAACTCATCAGAACCAGAGAACTCATTGACAAATAGTTGTCTGGTTCTGGTTCTCACAAGTAGTTGTCTGGTTGAAATGCTGTACACTGTCCAGCACCTTGGCACGTCCTCCCGACATGAAAGGCGTTATACAAATGTAATCTTGTTGTTGTTGTTGGTTGTGTCCTGTATCGCACCCTTCACCTACAAATAATATATCATAGTGCTTCACAGTGGCGTTCAGGGTTGGATGTTAACAAGAGAGAAGGGGGAGGAGGGGAGCTGACCAAAGGGAGGATCAAAGAAGTAGGTTTTTAGGTGGAATTTGAACATAGATAAAGAAGGTTGAGGCAACGTTAGAGGCAGGGAGTTCCAGAGGTTAAGGGCGCAGTGACTGAAGGTTCAACCACAAATGGTGGTAGAGAGAAAGGGAGACACTCAGCAGACCTATATTAGTTCAGCAAAGGTTTCAGCATTACATTCATTACAAATACTAGAACAAAACTGTCTCCAAGTAAAAAAAAATCCCAAACCATTTACAAATATCATTTGCATGAGTCTAATACACCCATAGGCTGCAGAGTCCAAGAACATGGTTAAATTAAAGTCAAATAATAGCATCTCATTTGTGCTAAACTGGCAAATCTGTATGTTTGGCTGACAAAATTGCTCCTAATTCCATCTGTCCTACATCTTCCAGTGTCATACATATTGTGTCCTACATTACAATCGTCATCTCCTCAGATTATATTCACTACAACCACAGGATGGTGCTGATAGCAGAGGACGGAACACAAATTTAAAGTGGGAAAGGTTCAAGATCCTGGGATCATTTAAAGTGTTCTTTGAAAGAAGGACCAAGACAGTGTAAAAACTTGCAGTGATGCAAATTTCAGGGATAAGAAGACTGGTCTAAGATATATAGACTTGGAGATATTTTGCTGAAGAAAATGGACATGATCCATCTGGAGCATTTGCACTTAGGTATGTACTTGTCCCATATGCTCTGTATAATACAAACAATACACAGAATGTACAGCGCAGAAACAGGCCACTCACTGAGGTTTAACTAAAGTTTTGTATAAACTCAACATCACCTCCTCACTTTATATTCTATCCCTCTGGATATAAAGTACAAGGCCCACATTGACCTTCTTATGGACTTGTATTTGTATCCTGTGGTTACAGACTCTAAACACTTTTATTATGTCCCCCCTTAAACCTCACAAACTTTAGACCCATCTCAAACCTGCCCTTCCTGGCCAAAGTCTTGGAACACGTCGTTGCAAATCACCTTCAGTCACACCTCTCCCTCCACTCCCTACCCAAAACTCTGGAACTCTCTCCCTCAAACCCTTTGCCTTGCCCACTCCCTCCCCACTTTCAAGTTCCACTTAAAGACTTCTCCTCCCTCCTCTCTTCCTTTAACCTCTCCATCCACATCCACTCCCCCACCCACGACCATGGCCACCCACTTGACCTGGTGATCACCGTCTCAGACATCACCATCTTCGATAAAGCCATCTGGGACCATCACTTTATCTTCCTCAACACCTCAGTACCCCTTCCCCTTTCCCAACCTCCACTGTCACATACCGTCCATGGAAAAAAATTCCCTCCCTCTCCCTCTCCACTGCCCTGGAGTCATCCGAACTCCTACACCTCTGGCTCTCACTGCCCGACCTTCCCTCCTCACTCTCTTTTCTCCACAACTCCCTCTCCTCCATTCTGGACTCCTTTGCCCCCCTCACCTCCCGAACTGCCTCAAACTCCCGTAAATCCCCCTGGTACACCAGCTATCTCCATTCCCTCAAGGCACAAGTGCAAGCTGCCGAACTCGCCTGGACCAAATCCAAACCAACGGTACATCGGATCATTTGGCTTCACCGCACCAAGACCAACCGCTGCGCTCTTGCCTCTGCCAAATCTTCCTTCTACTCCAAGGTCATCTTGGAGGCAAAGGACAACCCCAGGGTTCTCGTTTCCACCACAAACCGTCTCCTCCATCCACCTTCCCTCGCCTCGCCCATCCTCTCCTCAAACTCCAACTGTGAGCAGATGCTGGACTTCGCGAATCTAAAATCGAGGGGATACATTCAGCCACCTCAGCCCCGTCCACAGCCATCCCCACATCACCTCTCCCTCATGACTCACCTCCCCACCCATCCACCCCTATTCTCCTTCGACCCTATCTCTCCCTCCTCCCTCATCACGACTGTCCGCAAACTCAAACCCACCACCTGCTCCCTCGATCCCATCCCCACCTCTCTCCTCATCTCCCAACTCCACCTTCTGGCCCCTCTCCTGTCCGACGTCATTAACCTCTCTTTGTCTACCGGTTCAGTTCTCACCTCCCTAAAAACAGCCGTCATCACCCCCATCTTGAAAAAACCTTCCCTGGATCCATCCCTCCTCTCCAGCTACCGCCCCATCTCTAACCTCCCATTCCTCTCCAAGGTCCTGGAAATAGTCATCGGGTCCCAGCTCCGCTCCTTTCTTTCTCGCCATTCCCTCTTTGAACCCCTCCAATCCGGCTTCCGTGCTGCCCACAGTACGGAAACAGCCCTGGGCAAAGTCACGAATGACATTCTGAACATCTGTGATCAGGGCTCCCTCTGCCTCCTTGTCCTCCTCGACCTCTCTGCCAACTTCGACGCTGACAACCACTCCATCCTCATACACCACCTCTCCGCTTTACTCAATCTTCACGGACCTGCCCTTGCCTGGTTCGATTCCTATCTCTCTCACCGTATCCACCTTGTTGCCTCTAACGGTTTCTCCTCCAGCCCCTGTACTGTCACATCTGGCGTCCCCCAGGGCTCTGTCCTTGGCCCTCTCCTCTTTAATATCTACATGCTCCCCTTTGGTGACATCATCTGCAGATATGGGGTCAACTTCCATATGTATGCGAATGACACCCAACTCTATCTTTTTGCCTCCACCCTCAACTCCAGAACCACTGCTGTCCTGACAGACTGCCGATCGGACATCAAGTCCTGGATAAGGGCAAATTTCCTACAGTTGAATGTGAACAAGACTGAGGCCCTCCTGATTGGCTCGTGCCAGCGCCTCAGCACCTCAGGCTCTGGCAGCATCAACCTCCATGGTTGCACACTTCAACTCACCAGGAACCTAGGTGTCTTGTTCTTCCCCACATCCAAGTCATGATCCGCTCTGCCTTCCCTCACCTCCGTAACATCACCGGCCACTACTTCACCCCTCAGGCCGCTGAATCTCTTGTTCATGCCTTCATCACCTCCAGGCTCGACTATGCAAATGCCCTGCCTGTCGGCCTTCTCAACTGCTCCCTCCACAGGCTGCAGATAATCCAGAACTCTGCAGCCCGTGTCCTCTCCCGCACCAAACTCTGTGACTCCATCTTCCCCACTCTCGCCCGACTCCATTGGCTCCCCATCCTTCAGGAGGTCCAGTTCAAGATCCTGGTCCTCACCTACAAAGCCCTCCATGGCCTCACCCCACCCTATCTCTGCGACCTCCTAACCCCCTAACAACCTGCCTGTTCCCTCCGCTCAGCCGGCTCTGGCCTGCTCCACATCCCCCAACCCACCATTGGCGGGAGAACCTTCAGCCACTCTGCCCCCAACCTCTGGAATTCTATTCCCCCAGTCACTCCGCCTCGCACCCTCCTTAGCCTCCTTCAAGTCCTGCCTCAAGACCCTCCTCTTCGACCATAACGTCAACCACCCCTCTTCCCCTCCCCTCCCTTCTCCCCCCCCCCCCCGACCCCAGCTCAGGTGTGAGATTCTGTATACTGTCCAGCACCTTGCATTACTGTCTTGACGTGAAAGGCGCTATACAAATGTAATCCCCCTGGCTCAGGGTCAGACTCCACCACTATCAAGTGCCCTGTATGAAGGGCATTATACAAATGTGGATCTGAATCCTCAGATCGCTTTGCTTCTCTACTCCTCTTAGGTTCTTACCATCTCGACTATAGATGATTTCTTTATTTTTCCTGCCAAAGCAAATTACATCTAATTTTCCTACATTACATTTAATTTGCCATCTGTCTGCCCATTGTGCTAGCATGTTTATTGTAGCACGCGTGCAGTGGTCCAGGCTGGACAAGTAGTCGGAAGCTTGTCAGAGAAAGCTCTCAGTGTCAACCTGTGCGGTTTTAGCTGGTTAAACTCCAGCACTATTCGAGCATACACTCTGGGGTACTCAGCCTTGTCTCTTGTCAACTTGTGGCTAATACTTTCTTGAATTAGGTGAGTAGGGTACCTCCCTCCATGAGTGCACGTTCCATTCCAGACACAGGGAAAATTCCACGTGTAGGTGGTGTCCATCTGTAGAACTCTCAATATGTTTTGTGTACATAGAATGTTACAGTATGAACACAAGCCATTTGGATGTACTTGTACTTCACATAAACCTGCACCCCTCTATTCCCTTCTCTCTTATGTATGCATCAAGTTTCCTCATAATTATGTCACTTATGCCTGCTATCATAGTTTTGCAGAAACAGACAGAATGACACAAAAGACTACAGTGGGTCAAAGACCATCCGGTTTATTGTGATGCTGGTTTTTAACTTCCTCACTGGAGCTATCGACACTAATGTTTTTCTCAGTATGCTGTAACATTTTTCTTCAAGTACCTATCAAATTCCCTTCAAACTACGTTTTAAGCACTTCACTTCAATTGCCACAACAACAAAATTACATTTATAATACATTCCATAATCGAGCCTTGATGTGACGAAGTCGTAGGTGAAGGTTTCTGCAGCCTGAGGGGTGAGGCAGTTCGGAGTCTGGCAATGTTGCGGAGGTAGTGGTAGGCAGTGCGTTCATGTGGAGTCCTGTAGCTCAGTGGTTAGAGCACTCGCCTTGCAAGCGAGACACCTGGGTTCAATTCCAGGCAGGGCGAAACCTTGGGCAAGTTTCCTTACTCCACACGCCTAATAATAATCCCTCCCAAACAAAACAATAATAAATTGGTCATTTTCAATCCATGACTGTTTGTGGGACACTGCTGTGCACAATTGGCTGCCGCGTTTCACCCACAAATATACGATCAATTCACTTTACAGTCTATTCTGTGAAGCGCTTTGAGGCGTCGAGAAGACATGAAAAGTGCTATATCAAATGCAACGATTATTATTATATTATTATTATGGCGTGGATGTGGAGGAGAAAGGACAGTTCAGGGTCAAACAAGACACCCAGGTTCCTGACTGGCTTAGTGAGGTTGAGTGTGAAGCCGTGGAAGCTGACGCTGCCAGCGCCTGAGGTGCGGAGGCGCTGGCGCGAGCCGATCAGGAGGACCTCAGTCTTTCTGATATTGAGTTGGGAGAAAGTTATCCCTCGTCCAGGACTGTGATCAAATATTCCACATTCGAAAAAAAAAAACTTAGCCGTGTTAACAAAAACCAACCGACTATATAGTGTGTGCCTGGTGCAATAAATGTAATTAAACATTTTAATGTGCTGCTCTTTTGATAAATGAATTCATTACACAGTGGGGGTGTTCACAGTTATGCTCTGTGCACTTCCTCATTGCAGTATGAAGCACAGAAAAGTTGCTCCATATCTCTGCAGCACCCACCCCGACCCCCAGAATCCGATCTGTGCTATTTTACGGAACAGCCTAAGATCAAAAAAAAAATGATTCACATGCAGATCTTCTCCCTTCCCCATTAAGCTGATCCTTTTGACTTGGAAGGAAGAAAGAATCATTTCGGGGGCTCTCCATAGCCAATACAATACACTTTAGTTCATATTCTGAACATGCAATTGGAAAACAGACACATGTGAGTCACTCTGTGGTACACATTACCAGTGATGCTCCCCAATGGGTTACCTTTTCAGATGGGAGAGGATTCAGAGCCACAGGTTTTCCGAAAGAGAGGGGGAAAAAAACCCCCACACATGTGTTTGATAGGGAAAACGATTCCCTGAAAATCATCCCGAATCCGTATAGATAATAATAATAAAAAATCACTAATAATTACATCACGAATAATTCTTACTCTCATTAGATAGACCCCGACTTTTTGAGAGCTCATGAAATAAGTCACATCGAGAGCAGAGTTTGAGCGTTTCCAAAAAAAAAAAAATGGATCAAAACCTCTTAAGAGCCATCGCTCTTTTGCACAAAGTCCCGACAAGTTCCAGATCAAACGAAACCCACAACTGCTCAGGACAGACACTCGCTGCGCCGAGAAAAAAAAAAACCCTCAACCCCCCCCCCCAACCCCACCCCACAGCAAAAGTATTTGCTCAGCCCCACAGAGAGGAATCCCGAACCCCTTCGAAATCCCACTCGTTGAATCCCAATAAAAAAAAAGAGAGAGAGAGAGAGACGCTTTTTTTTGTGTTTTTTCTTACCTTGGACCTTCTGGTCGGCCTTGAACGAGCTGTTGGAGGCGGTGATGCTGTAAGGCGAGGCGCTTGTTTGTGGCGAGACGTTCTTGTGCTTCGGGGCCATGCTCTCACAGGCGCTCTCAGGCGCTCCCGTGGGATACGCGACCGAGGGCGCCCACTGCAGCAAAGCCAGTGCGAGGATGGCGATCCGACTGAGAGCCATGTCCGGGGCGCGGCGGTGCAATCTTCTCTGTGTCAAGTGCAGGACCCGCAGCATCGCTTTATACATCGCTCTGTCCTCCCCTCCCCATCACTTCCTCTCTCTTTCAGTCACTCACGGGCTCGCCTCCAAAAGAGGAAATGTTCTCACTTCAAAACCTCGAGTCTCAACGAAGGTGGAGTTTGTGCAATTATGCATCTGTTCCTATCCTATCCCCCACCCACCCAACCTCCCCCCCCAAAAAAGCCCCAACTTCAAACCGAATTTCACAGTAAAATCCTTCCCGAAGAACAGCAACTTTTACTGGGGTGGTGGGGGGGGGGCATCATAAACTTCTTTTGCTGTGGAATAATGAAAACGAAGTCATTTTTTCCTTCCTAAAAGTTGAGGCAGAATCCATACTGGCTTTCAAATTAGACCAATGCCTAAAAAAAAGGAGATAAGGGGGAAAGTCCAGGTGACTTGAGACTGAAAGGATCGCTCTTAAAGAAGCACGGACACAATAGTAATCCTTGCATTTGATGTAGCGTCCTTTTCACATCTTAAAGAAGTCTTAAAATGTTTTGCAGAATATACTGTAAAGTGAATTGGCCGTATATTTTGCGGGCGAAACACGACAGCCAATTGCGCACAGCAGTGTCACACAAACAGTCATGGATTGAATGAAGTTGGCTGGCTCTGGCCTCCTGTTTCTCCCGCGTCCCCTTCACTCCACCATCAGTGGTCGTGCCTTCAGCCACTACTCCCCAAAACTCAGGAACTTTCTCCCTCAATCCCTTCGCCTTGTACCCTCCCTCTCACTTTCAAATCCCACTTAAACACCTTCCTTTTTAATTGTGCTTACGGTCACCTCCTCCCTCCCTCTCCTCCTGGCTCGGAGTCAGACTCCACCATTGTTAAGCTCTCCGGGATGCTACCCCACTTGACAGGCACTATATAAATGCAAGTTGTTGTTGTTTCTCCCAATGTCCTAGCCTACAAATACCCAAATGAAATTAAACATTCATTCCATGACTATTTGTGGGTCATTGCTGTGCGCAGAAATTGTCTGCTGTGTTGGCCCACAAAATATACAATCACACTACTTGACATATAGTTTTGAGATACCTTGACAATCTGAAAGATGTTATATCAAACACAGGAAATACAGCAGGCAATTTGCGCAGAGCAATGTGAAATAATGCCACAAAATGAATGACCAATTGTTATCTGAAGAACTGTTGACCAGGACACTAGGAAAAACTCCCTTCTCTTTTTCAGTGGGATTTTTAATGTCCACATGAATAGGCGGGTAGGACTTTAATTTAATGTTTCATCACAACAATGCAGAGCTCCCCCAGCACTATATAGAATGTCAAAAAAACACATGGGGCTTTGACTCTAAAACCTTCTGACTCAGGCAACTATACTACCAGTTCAGCCATGTTGACACCTGAATGAAAGAGTAATGGATGAGGTTTTTGTCTAGTATATTGGTTTTCCACTCAGGAACCGTCTGATTAATTTAGCTGCCTGGCTAGTTTAGATACAACAATATAATATGATCCCTTCTCTAGTATATTTTGTTTGAATCACTCATGCCTGTGATCCTTCATTCAGCAGTAAGAATTCACACTTACTACAGGCCTCTAGGACACACAGAAATCCATCTAAGTGTGGAAGTTCACCCAACGGCATTCCTCCTCAACAATAATAATAATCCTTACATTTGATATAGCACCTTATCTACCAACCTGCCAGCTCCCTCCCCTACCATCGGTGGCCAGGCTTTCAGCCGCTCTGCCCCTACACTCTGGAACTCCATACCACAATCCCTTTGCCTCACTTCCTCCCTTGACAATTAGAATTCTTGTTTTAATATGATTTTTCAGGTACATCCTCCCCTCTTCTTCTTAAGATGTTAATTGATGCTGGTAATATAATAATAATAATAATCCTTGCATTTGATATAGCGCTTTTTACGTCTTCTCGACGTCTCAAAGCGCTTCACAGAATAGACTGTAAAGTGAATTGACTGTATATTTGTGGGTGAAACGCAGCAGCCAATTGCTCACAGCAGGGTCCCACAAACTGTCGTGGATTGAAATGACCAATTTATTTTTGTTTTTGGAGAGATTATTATTAGGCGTGTGGAGTAAGGACACTTGCCCAAGGTTTCGCCCTGCCTGGAATTGAACCCAGGTGTCTCGCTTGCAAGGCAAGTGCTCTAACCACTGAGCTACAGGTGTATGATAATCACCAGGCATCTCTCCCAAGTGATCGTCCTTCAAGTGACCTTATTTGCCTCATAGTTTCATAATCATTATTATCATATATAATAACTTTTTTGCAGGAAAAACATTACAATTTGTGACAGCAAAGACACCTTCCTGCATAAACATCACATTGTGGAAGTCCCCTCTTACTCATCAGAAGGTAGTTGTGTCAAAGCAAAGTTCCAGTAAGTCAATGTCATGCACACTCAACTCAATATTTGCGGACCCAATACTTACAAATATTTATATATTTGATTGCAAAAACTGACTGATAAAAAACAGGCAAGATGCTGAAGGGTGCCTTCCTGGTGAAACATATGCCAGCAGCACAGTATTGGTGTTACAGTGACTGCACTGTGATAGCAATGTTAAGGGGGAACATATAAAAGATGACAAAGAGAACATTTCCAAATGTAACTGCAGCCAATGGGCAATGAACCAGATGATTGGGAATGGCAGTTCACCCCAGGCACAGGTCTGCTTCAGAGTAGAATTGAAACAGAAATCTCTGTTACTCTGTTATCCATTTATTGGAAAGCGAAACTGTATTTGCACATCAAAATACCCTCAGCAAATAATAATTGCAAAATTAATCCTTGTAATAATAATAATTCTTGTATTTGATATAGCGCTTATCAAGTCTTCTAGACATCTCAAAGCGCTTCACAGAATATGCTGTAAAGTGAATTTGTGAGCGAAACGAGGCAGCAAATTTCTCACAGCAGTGTCCCACAAGCAGTTGTAGATTGAAAATGACCAATTTATTATTGTTTTTTGTTTTGGAGGGATTATTATTAGGCGTATGGAGAAACAAAACTTGCCCAAGGTTTCGCCCTGCCTGGAATTGAATTCAGGTGTCTCGCTTGCAAGGTGAGTGCTCTAACCACTGAGCTACAGGACTCCAGTGTGAGATTTCATCTCATTTTCATTCTCAGACGATTTACACTGACGTTGAGACTGTCCTTTCTGCATTATTGTTTTAAATATTTCGCTGCAGCACTTCCGGTAATAGAATTTGTTTATTGTTCTTGATAACCCTCCCCCAAAAATAATAAATTGGTAATTTTCAATCTACGACTGTTTGTGGGATATTGCTGTGCGCAATTGGCTGCCGCGTTTGCCCACAAATATACAGTCAATTTAGTTTACAGTATATTTCTCTTTGACCGAGCCTTCAGCTCCCCTCTCGACTCTCTTCCCCCTCCTCGCTCCCTCCCTTCCCTCCCCTTACCCTGACCATTTCCCCCCTCCTCGCTCCCTCCCTTCCCTCCCCTCACCCTGACCATTTCCCCCCTGCTCGGGTCATGACCCAACTGTGCAGCGCCTTGGGACGTCCTCCTGACGTGAAAGGCGCTTTATAAATGGAATCTTGTTGTTGTTGTTGTTGTTATTCTGTGAAGTGCTTTGGGACATCTAGAAGACGTGAAAAGCGCTATATCAAATGCAAGGATTATTATTACATTCCAGTAAACCCAACTTCCTCAATCCTGAACAGGGACTGATCTATCAGGATATTTTATTCCTGAGCATGCTATGTCTCTTACCACCCTCTGTTCTTTCTCTATTGTTTCTACTTGTAAATTGCACCCTTTGTGCCCGAGACATGCAAAAATGGCTGACAGGCTGAATGAGTCTCAGCCTTGCCGAACAAGAAGCTTTAGCATTTCCTGTGCTCATCAGAAGGTGTGTCTGGTAACTACTAAATGACCCAAGAGGTTACACCTCATTTCGGTATTGTATATCGTAACAAAACAACATCCAGGATGGTTCCAAAGCAGCCACCTTTCTCTCAACCTAAAAAAAAGAATAAGACGACTGGACCCCACCCCCAAGGTGGAAGCGAGGTTTGAGTTCTTATATATTCCTCGGTGCAAATTCACTGATAACATGAATAGCTTTCTAGACCACTCAATGAAAAGGACAGACTTTCTAGTTCAAAACTTGTGGGAGGCATTCACCCTGTATAGTTGTTCAATAGTTCTCAATGGTTCTACACTGAAATCATTCCACAGTAATTCTGGGATCCAAGATGCAATTTTCTAACAGGTTTTATAACTATCGAATCTGTTATAAAATACGTTGTTGTTCTATTTAATCCTAAAGACTGGATATGCGTGTGAAATAATTTACCTCCCATCCTATCCCATGACCTCGGCACAGCTCCCGTATTGCTTTTCTTGGATTTGGTCGGTAATTACAGCATTTTACTGCAGCTTCAAGAATAACAGGTAACTAAACCGGCATTTAAACAATTGGATCCAAATCAAATTACAAGGTATTCTGAATGCATAATTTTAAACTGCTCCTCTATTGCCCCACCCAATACCTAAATAGCCACATTGCTATTGCAGCCTGGTTTGATTATTTACAATGTGTATCTTAGCTACAGTGCAAGTAATAGATTATATTATACAGTATCATTTACAGTACCTTTTTGCCTATTATCTAATGTTACATAGCATTTGTTAAATGTAACCTTAAACGCATTTGAAGGTGGGAAACTTTGAACAGCTAGCAATTGATACTTGAAGTAATTTGTGCTTCACTATGAATGTTTTATACTAAGTTGTCCAAGTGGTGATAAAATATTTTGAATTTCTCATTGCTAACATTTCTCGATAGTGATTTCAAGGAGGAAGTGTCAACACAGAGGATGACATTTAAAAAATGCAGCGAGACGTAGATCGGTTAGGTGATTGGGCAGGTAGGTGGCAGATGAAGTATAATGTAGAGAAGTGCAAAGTCATCCACCTAGGTAGCAAAAACAGTAGAGCAGGTT